TTTTTTAGATCAAGAAAACATTCTCCCACAGTCTGTAGGCAGGAAGTAGCTGGGTCAGCCGAATCATGCTGGCATCTCTTTATCTCACAGCTCCCTCACGCTTCTGTTCTCTCTAGCGACCATAAATGCATGGTAGACAATTGATTTGATTGGATCTGTTTATTTATATATATTTATATATCATATATACCATGACTAATATATACAGAAATGAGTCATGGGTTGGGATGGAACCGTTTCTATGTGTTGGGTCGGGACTGTGGTCCACCATGATGCCCATCACGGGGCCTGGTACAGAAAACCCTATCACTTCAGTTGGATTGATTTTGGTACGTTAACTATGTTTAGATGTTGACCTTGATTGACCCCCCCCCCCCCCCCCTCTGCTTGTAGGTTTTATCTTGGTAAGCACAGCGGCAGACAACTCACACTGCAGCACCACATGGGCTCTGCAGATCTAAACGCCACCTTCTACGGTGCCATCAAGAAGGTTTGTATCCCGTTTGAATGTTCAATAGTTCAAATATTGCAATTGTTCTGAAGAACAGTTAACCTGACAGTTTAACGTTTTACGTGTTGCATTGATTTACACACAGAAAAGTTCAAATCAAGTGTCATGTGAATAAAACATGTAAAATAACAAGGCAACTTACTTTGCCAAGAATTGTCAAGAGACAAAACATTGTTATTTCTCAGGTGCAAATAACACACCACAAGGAGAAATGGGCGCAACTAAATGCGGTTAATAATTTAGTAACAAGAAAAATGTAATTTTACTGAGAATGTGAAAATGTCATGTAATTGGTACTGGTAGATTTAGGTAGAAGTCATTTTGTTTAGTGGTAAATGTTATCTGGTGTAGATCGAAGATTGCATTACTTGAGCGACAAGGAAATGTACATTTTTCAGGAATTTGAATTGTCTAAAACATAATTTATTGTGCAATTCTGAATCGTCACCTAAGTTTTTGATCTTTTTCCCCGACTTTTCCAAAAGGAGGATGGCGCAGAGGTTGGAGTGGGCGGAGCCCAGGTTACAGGCTCCAACACCAGGAAGCACATCCTGCAGGTATCCACCTTCCAGATGACAATCCTCATGCTCTTCAACAACAGAGACAAGTCTGTCTTTGAGGTACACAACTTATTACGTTACTGCCCTCTCAAATGAAGCATTGTGTTACGGTTTCCATAGTTTGACAAAAAATGATTTGCTGCGCAGAGAAAGACAACCAACCTGTCGATTTAGGGTGGACAGTTTCAGCTGGAAATGTCACATTTAATACACCATTTTCAGCTTTTTTTTCCTGTGACGTTAGGGTTTTATCATGCTCCCTAATTTGGTCTTTCCACCCTGTAGGAGATCCAGCAGGAGACGGACATCCCAGAGAGGGAGCTTGTGCGAGCGCTGCAGTCTCTAGCCTGCGGGAAGCCCACTCAGAGAGTCCTCACCAAGGAGCCCAAGTCCAAGGAGATCGAGAACGGCCACGTGTTTACAGTCAACGACCAGTTTACCTCCAAACTTCACCGTGTCAAGATCCAGACAGGTACACAAAATCATGATGTGGTAAAAAAAAAAAAGAGACAAATTACTTTTTTCTAATGAGACAACTGTTGCTAAGTTACTCTCAACATTCTAAGTTTACATAGTAACACACTGACACTGTCTTACCTCAAGTTCTAAAGCAGACAATGAAATGCCAGATCCACTGTAGAAAAAACCCTGACTCAGATCATTTAAAGCACTTATTTTTTAATACATGTTTACTTTCAGTCACACTTCTTGTTCTTACTTTTTTTCCTCTTGTGCTCCACCTAGTGGCTGCTAAGCAAGGGGAGTCAGACCCGGAGAGGAAAGAGACGCGGCAGAAAGTGGACGATGACAGGAAGCATGAGATCGAAGCTGCTATTGTTCGCATCATGAAGTCCAGAAAGAAGATGCAGCACAACGTTCTAGTAGCAGAGGTCAGTCAGCTAAAATGTTTGCATTTGCTCCCACATTAGCACATTTCCCATTTGCATTGTATTTTGTTTTTAGTGAGCATTCTAGTGAGTACATGTTTTAGTATGATGTACTGATGTTGTGTTTTTGGTGTCTCCACAGGTCACGCAGCAGTTGCGAGCGCGGTTCCTCCCTAGCCCTGTAGTCATCAAGAAGCGCATTGAAGGACTCATTGAGAGGGAATATTTGGCACGAACACCAGAGGACCGCAAAGTGTACACTTACGTAGCATAAAAACACATGAATTCAATGAAAGCTTACATCCAGTTGAGAGAAACTGAGAGCCTTGTTTTTTGTGGACTGCTATGCGTTTGAATGAACTTGGAAGTGCTTTCATCATTGATTCTGGGAAACACTGGGAAGCTTAACTTTTCTTCCATAAAAATGTGTAAAAAGAAATAAATCATGCAAAAGATGGGGAAGTTTTCTAGCAATATTAGAATTCTTCTACTGAGAGAATTGAAAGGAAGGGATCTAGTTTTGTACAAAATCTTGTTCCTTGTGGCCTTTGGAGAGAATCGGGCGAGCCTGTTTGCCAATTAAGCACGGGCTGTGGAGGAACGAGCGTAAACATGTTAAAGCAAACATGCGGCTTCATGGAGACCAAGAAAACATTTGAATTCACTCCCCCCTGTTTTTAAATGTTGATGTCAATGTGTTCCGTTTGTTTTTTGTGGCACATTGGTGGCTGTACAGGTCGACCAACACTCTTGGCCTTCTTCCTCCCAGAGGATTTTAATTTTTAAGAAGAGGACAAAGTGTTACCTGGTACAGACCTGGTTTACAACAGCAAAGACATTTTGAGTACTGGAGAAAACATGAAGAGTGCTTAATTTATGTTGAAAATATGTCGTTTTTTTTGCGGTTGTTTTAATGTCCGGTTTGAATTGAGTGCACCTCACATAAATGAAATATTTAATGCAATTTTCAATATTTTGGCCAGGTCTGTACTAGTGGTTAGAGATCAAGAGCTGTAGCTTCACGGCATGCTTTTATCTAGTGGATCAACCAGGGGAATACGACACATAAAAGCTCCATAAATGGTGTGTGGTCTCTCATGGAACGTTTTTCACTTCAGGCCTGCTGTATGTTCGGGCAAAAATATTATCTCCTCTGTTTGAATGGAAGGTTCCTTGTGGTGCAGCTTTCAAAGAGAATTATTTTTTCTCATTCTCGACTGCATTTTCCTCAGATGGAACCAGTCTAGCACCATGTTTTAATGTGTACAAATTGTAAAATAATTATTGTACTCACTGCAAAGGTGGATTGTACAGGGCCTTGTTTTCATCATATTAAATGTAGATTAAAAAAATTACGGGATGGGTTTTTTCTTTTTTTAAACATCTTTCATGCGAAGGCCTTGGATAACATGAGAGGCACTTGCCTCTTTGACCATAATTAAAGCTTAGCTTAGTCTCCAAGGAGGAACTTTGTAGGCCTTTTCAAGTACATTGTTTACTACATTCTTTTAAGAAGTTAGTGAATAGTTTTCTTTTTCACTTAAAGTGTGTTTACACAAAGTGGATTCAACTCTATGGGCTTTCTCTTGGCTGCAGGTCCTCTTGCCGTTGATGCATATTGTATTATACTAAACAGTGTTTCTAATATTTACCCTCTGATATAAATAAGAAAACGTTTTAATAAACAACCCAAGCACCACGAACGTATGTCTTTCAAATTGTTCAATAAACATCTAAAACAGTTCCAACAAACTTTAGATTAGTGTTCGATGTTAACTGTATTGAACTGAAATAATTATATAAATGGACAACATATGTAATATAACCATTAAACGGTTAAAATATCCCTCTTTTAAAACAGAGCTTATTTTAACAATATATATCAAATGGCCTGCAATAAACTATAAAAATGTTACAGGATTAATTAAAATGTCATGAGCTGGGCTTTAAACATGAATTGGAATATTTCAGTGTCATGGTTTGTTTGAATATTAGGTTCCTATTTTATTTCCTAATTTGTCGTTTTATTTTACTAGGAAATCCCATTGAGATCAAATCTATTTTAGAAGACAGACATGGCCAATAAAGCAGCTGTACAAAAACAAAACACATTATAACATACATGTTGTAGATATTCACTATGAAACATACAGCTGTTTAACACACAAGAAAAACAACCACATGACATCCATCGCCACAAGCTTCATGATGCCCTTAAACTCTAAATATTTCCATCACTCTAAATATAAATGTTTCATGTTTTACATTTCCCCCTCAGATTATTCCATCTCAAAGTGCATAGTAGGACAATTAAACAGTTTTTTCAGACATTTACAAAAAAGCCACCACTGAGAGCAGGGTAGCTGGAAATCAATTTGCCTAGCTGTACAGATATAAAAAAAAGACTGAATAGGCTATAATAAGATACCCATGCACCATTGGTCACTTTGAGTCTCTCAACACTAAGTAGCCTAAGTAATTTGTAGGATGTATTTTTATTGAACTGGGTTAGTTTCTGCTGGTTATATAAACAGACTGAACGCATAATAAAAGAAACTGAGTGCTGTCTTGCAGATCCTGTCATAACCTGGTCAAAAAGAGGTGTGCTCTAAAAGCGAGTTTAATGCTCTTAACAAGGCATTAACAAACAATGTCTTTAATTTCCAGGGTTTAGAGCCCCCCCTCCACACGTCCCCTACACTTTTAAATCTGTCACTCCGTCTGGCCTGTGTCCTTTGTCTTCTCTTATTGTTAGACACATGCCATCTGCTCTCTGTTATTATGAGGCAGATGGCTTTGGATTGAAAGCAATTTGTGCTGCCCCCTTTCGCCCACACTTTAGCATAAAAGCCTCAGCGAGTAACTCCTCAAACACAGTCCAGCATGTATTTCTTCTGAGAGCTTCTTTAGTTTTAGGTATTTCTTTACAAAATATAAGATGTGTACGTATGATTTGTACGCATAACGGCGCCTGGTGACGTCATAGTCCCGGCAAAAAAAGAGTGCCTCTTTTTTTCTGGAGTAGCAGACTGCGGAGAGAAATCCGACGGGATGCTTTTCACTCTCAGCCCGCCGCACCGCTCCTCTGACTAACTTCTGTGCAGATGGCTCGACTTAATGTGGAAGAAAGTAAAGCTACCGGACGATGTTTGGAAGAGTGGCGCTGTTAAAGAGGAGATCCTACGATGAAAACGTGGACTCTGGAGCTGAAACTGCCGAGTGAGTATAACTGTTTATCGGCATTAGCTAATGTGGCTAACGTTAGCTATTCAACTTTTTTGTAGGCACAATGGAAATTAACGTTCACCAGGAGAATACATCTTGAATGGGCTAACTAATTAAAGTAGAAGCAACTATGTGTTATCCCTATTTGCACTTAATTATGGGTGTTTAAAGCTGTTTAATTATTTAAGGTGTTTTCTCATAAATTGACTTTTATGTTAGCTCACAACATATACTGTGTTGTCATGGTGACCAAGGGGCACGTTTCCAAGCCAACCACCACAAGATGGAGACAGATTTTGATCTGAACTCCAGACTAAAAAAAGTGTTTAAGAATGAACGTAATCACTCGTGTGTTTTTATTTTGTGTCTCAGATCTGACTGCAGCATGATGTCATCCTCTGACAGTAAGTACTCTTTCAGTCAGACAGAAGCTAAAGAGCACTCTGTAATTTAACCCTCATGACTCACATGGGACTTTTTTTATTATAGTCTTTGCAGCTTCATGCATATGGCATACATGTTGACTGTTATTTCATTTCATTTTGTAAACGGCCTCATCTCTACTGTGCAATTCTATTGTTATTTGACTATTCCCTGTTCATGTTCCTCAAACTTGACCCAGTTTCAGCCTGGATTGGTATATTATATAACACTTTCAATGGGGGTAAATATTACGCAGAACAAACACTGTACACAGATTAGTAGAGTGAGGCTCAGTTTATAGTATAGTAGTGGAGATTAGACATACTGGAATTGCCGTATTTCCAAACACAGTGCAGCATCAGTGTGTTTTTTGGCACTTAACTTAATACTAAAACACAAACCAAAATCTTGTATTGTCAGTTGTTTATGTTTATTAAGGATCCCCATTAGCTTTTGCTCTTGGCAAAAGATACTCTTCCTGGGGTCCGACACTTAAAACAATACAACAATAATACAACAATAATACAACAACATTCAAGACATAATTCCTGACATCATTAACAACATCACCATTAACATCAACAATTTCCAACATCATCAACAATCTCATCCACTTTTAATATCAATCTCAGCCAAGTGCACTAGACACCCACCAGTACAAAGCATGAGATCAAATTAAATTAGTTTGGCAATGAGTTCCATTCCTTTATAGCTCCATAAGTCACTGAAGATTTCAGAAGATGTGTCCTGGGTTTAGGTGCCGTAGATGGCCTGATGTAGCTTGTCTAGTCTTATGGTCATGCTCGTCTCTTGTGTAAACTATTAAAAATACAGTGTTTTATTGCTAAATTGGACATTTTTTAGAAAAATGATAACACGAGATTGCAGACGTTTCTCAACCGGAAGCCATGATAGGTTTCTATGCATAACTCCAATATGAGTGCGCTTCGAACAGTGGAGAGCTAGTCTGGCAGCCTTGTTTTGAGCTATTTGTAATTTCTGTATATGTGTTTTTGCTGCTGATGACCATATGACCGGACAGTACTCAAGATGTGACAAAACCAGAGACTGAATGACTTGTTTCAAAGTGGTTGGTGTTACATACTTTGTACATTTTCTCGTCACAGCTATGTTCCTTCCCATTTTAGTTACGATACTGTCTATTTGCTTTGTCCACTGTAACCAGAATCAAGAAAAGAAGACTTTAAACAACGGTTTTGACAAGCTGAGTCATATTACCCACTGCAAGGAAACTGATCTTGATGTGTATAATTTGTGTGCCAAGGAGCTTTAACTAAATAGACATTTGTTATTATGACTTCGGCTCTGTGCTGCCCTGTTTAAGCATTTGCAAGCTTGCACCTGTCCAAACTATCTTTGAGTACTTATTTGTGTGATTGAACCCTAGTTGAGCTTGTGACCAGTCGGGACAGGCAGCAGCGGCAGCCTCAGATCCTGCCGATGAACTTGCATCTGCTGGCCAACCCCGGGGACTCCCTGCTGCTGCAGCACAGCCTGGACCGCCTGCTCCGCTGGCTCTGCCCCAGCCTCCGCATCTTCCATGTGTCCGAGAGGGCCTCCCCATTCAGGAGCTACACACACCTCTGTCCTGTGGCAGGTACAGAGCTTCACTGTGTGCTGTTGTGTTGATTATACTTGTATACTATTTTTTTTTACTGTCAGGTTTTAGGCATTTAATTTGCAGGCATGCAAAATGTGGTTGTGCTAGTAAAACCTTAAGTATTTAAAAAGAATTATAATCATTTCCATATGTGAGACCTCAAAACATGATGGAAATGTCAACCATTTTCATGTCAACAACAAATGTCATTCTCTCAATGCATTTCCTTTCTGTATGAAGTAAACAATATCATCCCACAACAATTTCTCTTGCCAACTGCATCTGTTTTTATTCAGTTTGATTGAGAATAAATATCTTTCCAAAAAATGTTTCAGGCTACCCTTCTGTGGCCATCACCTTCTTCCTCCATGAGGCCTACGGAGAGGAGCGGATCCTCAAAGTGCTGGACTTCTTCCAGCACCCGCCCTGGCAGTACCACCACACTGAGACATGCGGCAGCCAGACCGGGGGGATCCACATCAGCTCCAACAGCTCGTCCTCCAATGCCATGCATTGCATGCCATGCATGCCCTACCTCCTGCCCAGCAGAGACTTCTACAGTTTGGGGGCAGGCATGCCTGTGTGGGGGGTGCGCCCAGTCCACTGTGGAGGAGAGATACTTCGTGTGACACTCTACAGTGGATACGACAACTACGAGGACGCCGTGCGGCTCTATGAGACGGTGCTGCAGCGGCAGGCGGAGGAGCAGAAGACCGGCTTCTGCTGGTTCACGCTCCACACAGGTACGGCTTAAGAGGGTTACTCTTTGATTTTTTACAAGTGTTTATATTCTATACTGCAGTTCAGAGTATACGGCCTTCTTGGAGACCCTGGAAAGAGTCCTGTTTGTTTGTAGCCTTTATTTAACCAGGTGAAAGCCCCTTGAGATCAAAAGATCTCTTTTTCAAGGGTGACCTGCATGGGGCTCCTGAAGGGGACTCTTTAATCTTGCTGGGAGACTTCAACGCACATGTGGGCAATGATGGAGACACTTGGAGGGGCGTGATTGGGAGGAACGGCCCCCCTGATCTGAACCGGAGTGGTGGTTTGTTACTGGACTTCTGTGCTAGTCACGGATTGGCCATAACAAACACCATGTTCGAACATAAGGATGCTCATAAGTGTACGTGGTACCAGAGCACCCTAGGCAGAAGGTCCATGATCGATTTCGTTATCGTATCATCGGACCTGAGGCCGTATGTTTTGGACATTCGGGTAAAGAGAGGGGCGGAGTTGTCAACTGATCACCATCTGGTGGTGAGTTGGGTCGAGTGGCGGGGGAAGCCTCTGGATAGACCTGGTAAGCCCAAACGTGTAGTTCGGGTGAACTGGGAACGTCTGGAGGAGGCCCAAGTTCAGGAGGCCTTCAACTCACACCTCCGGCGGAGCTTTTCGGGCATTCCTGTGGAGGTTGGGGACATTGAACCAGAGTGGTCGGTGTTCAAAGCCTCTATTGCCGAAGCCGCGGCGGGGAGCTGTGGTCTCAAGGTCCTAGGTGCCTCAAGGGGCGGTAACCCTCGAACCTCCTGGTGGACACCGGTGGTCAGGGAAGCCGTCCGACCTGAAGAAGGAGGCCTTCAGGGATTTGTTATCCCGGGGGACTCCCGAGGCAGTTGCAAGGTACCGACAGGCCCGAAGGGCAGCAGCCTCATCCGTGGCTGAGGCAAAGCAGCGGGTGTGGGAGAAGTTCGGAGAAGAAGACATGGAGAAGGACTTTCGGGCGGCACCAAAGTTGTTCTGGAAAACTGTCCGACACCTCAGGAGGGGGAAGCAGGGAACCATCCAAGCTGTGTACAGTAAGGATGGGACGTTGTTGACCTCAACTGATGGAGTGTTAGGGCGTTGGAAGGAACACTTTGAGGAACTCCTGAACCCGACAACTCCGCACTCTATGTTAGAGGCAGAGCTGGAGTATGACGGGGGATCAACATTAATCTCCTGGGGGGAGGTCACTGAGGTCGTCAAACAACTCCACAGTGGCAAAGCCCCGGGGGTGGATGAGATCCGCCCAGAAATGCTGAAGGCTCTGGGTGTTGAGGGACTGTCATGGTTGACACGTCTCATCAACATTGCGTGGAAGTCGGAAACAGTACCGAAGGAGTGGCAGACCGGGGTGGTGGTTCCCCTTTTTAAAAAGGGGGATCAGGGTGTGTGCCAATTACAGAGGCATCACACTACTCAGCCTCCCCGGGAAAGTTTACTCTAAGGTACTCGAAAGGAGGGTCAGGCCGATTGTTGAACCTCAGATTGAGGAGGAACAATGCGGATTCCGTCCTGGTCGTGGAACGACGGATCAGCTTTTTACTCTCGCAAGGATCCTGGAGGGGTCCTGGGAGTACGCTTATCCGGTCTACATGTGTTTTGTAGACTTGGAGAAGGCGTATGACCGAGTTCCCAGGGAGTTACTGTGGGAGGTGCTGCGGGAGTATGGGGTGAGGGGGTCTCTACTCAGGGCCATCCAATCTCTGTACTCCCAAAGCGAGAGCTGTGTCCGGGTCCTCGGCAGTAAGTCGGACCCATTTCCGGTGAGGGTTGGCCTCCGCCAGGGCTGCGCTTTGTCACCAATCCTGTTTGTAATATACATGGATCGGATTTCGAGGCGTAGTCATGGGGGAGGGGGTCTGCAGTTCGGTGGACTAAGGATTGCACCACTGCTTTTGCAGATGATGTGGTTCTAATGGCTTCATCGGTCTGCGACCTTCAGCACTCACTGGATCGGTTCGCAACCGAGTGTGAAGCGGCTGGGATGAGGATCAGCACCTCCAAATCTGAGGCCATGGTTCTCAGCAGGAAACCGATGGACTGTCCACTCCAAGTAGGGAATGAGTCCTTACCCCAAGTGAAGGAGTTCAAGTATCTCAGGGTCTTGTTCTCGAGTGAGGGAACAATGGAGCGTGAAATGGGCCGGAGAATCGGAGCAGCAGGAGCGGTACTGCAGTCGCTTTACCGCACCGTTGTGACGAAAAGGGAGCTGAGCCAGAAGGCAAAGCTTCTCTGTCTACCGGGCCATTTTCGTTCCTACCTCACCTATGGTCATGAAGGATGGGTCATGACCGAAAGAACGAGATCGCGGATATAAGCGGCCGAGTTGGGTTTTCTCCGCAGGGTGGCTGGTGTCTCCCTTAGGGATAAGGTGAGAAGTTCGGTCATCCGGGAGGGACTCGGAGTTGAGCCGCTCCTCCTTCGCGTCGAAAGGAGCCAGTTGAGGTGGTTCGGGCACCTAGTTAGGATGCCACCTGGGCGCCTCCCTAGGGAGGTGTTCCAGGCACGTCCAGCTGGGAAGAGACCAAGGGGTAGACCTAGGACCAGGTGGAGGGATTATATCTCTTCGCTGGCCTGGGAGCGCCTTGGGATCCCCCAGTCAGAGCCGGTTGATGTGGCCAGGGAAAAGAAAGTTTGGGGCTCTGGGGCTGGAACTGCTACCCCCGCGACCCCGACCACGGATAAGCGGGAGAAGATGGATGGATGGATATTCTCTACTAAAAATAGAACATATTTATCTCAACAAGTCCAACTTTAAGGATGAGCTTTTTTTGACAAATATATTGAATGCTATTTTGTTTTTCCTGCAAAATAACTATACAAATGTAAAAAAAAGTACAATAAAACGGATAAAATAAATAATCAAGATGATGCAAACAGATATTACTATAAAAAAGTAAATACATAACTATCCTAAAAATAAAATATATACAAATATGAGTAGTACATTATTTATATATATATACATATCCATTTAAACAACCTACTTAAATAAATCAGAAATACGTAAATGGACATGGTGAAATTATCAATAGGTTGTAACAGCGACTGAGTGTTATATGTCCATGGTGGTGGTAAGCCTTGGAATCTCAGTAAATAGAAGAAAAAGAGTTTTCAATGTCCGGTACTTTGGTTGAAACAATTTCTGATAATGTGCCTGACTTAGATTTTCTTTTATAAATAGAAGGAAAGAAAATCCTCAGCAAGTTCTAAAATCACTTTTCCCACACAGAGCCGGGGCTGTGCATGCAGCTGGCGTTAAAACAGCTGTCCCCAGGGGTCCAGGTGGAGCCCTGCAGCTCTGCCGTGCTGCAGTTTAGTGTGGAGGAAATAGGCCAGCTAGTCCCTCTGCTGCCCAACCCCTGCACCCCCATCAGCGGCTCCCGCTGGCAGACAGAGGACCTGGATGGAAACAAAGTTCTCTTCCAGGTAAGGGAATGTTTAAATGCCACAGCAAATGTGTCAAAATGTGCACATGTATGCTTCATGCTGCCTGACGCTTAATGAATGTTTTACATGAGGCTTAATGACTGATTGGTATGAATTTAATATCTTCACTTAAATGATGTCATACTCATTCTCTCAGTGAGATTAAATCAGATGGACATGTGGTTGCATTCTCTCACAGAACCAGCTCCGAGCTGTCAGTAGCCATATGTAAGATGCGTGTATGTTAATTCCGTCAAAGTGACTTAACTTGTCTAATTCTCTGTGGTCTTGGTGTAAATCATAATCCCCCCCCCCTTCTGTCCCTCCGTGCTGCAGGTGAAAACCCCGGCTCAGCCTCAGCGACCTCTGACCTGTGCTTTCCCCCTGACCTGCCCCAGCGTGCCCCCCCGAGCGGTGCAGCTCAGGAGCCCGGCCCAGGGCCCCAGCCTGTCGCCCTGCAGCCTCACAACGCCCCGGCACACACACAGGCAGGGTCAGTACACACACACTGAGTCCACCCCCCAAAACCTGTCCCCAGAGACACCAACAGGGAAAGGCCGCATCAGAGCCAAAGTTTTATCGGCAATTTGATCAAAAAAAAGGCCGATACCGATAATCGGTCAAATGCGGAATATCAGCCCCGATAATCGGCCAGGCGGTCGACCCCTACCTCATACACAAGATTAGTTACCAGAAACATTGTTAAATGAATATATATGCATGTAATACATATGCATATACATGCATGCAACAAATACATATACTCATACACACTACATACACACCAGCGACGTGCAGTCAGGGGAGGCAGGGGAGGCAGAGCCTCACCTGTCATACTCCAATGTAACGGAAAAACAACTAAAGAAAAACTAAATAGTAATAATAATACAATGTCTCCACTGATCTGTGTTGTACTGTAAGTGTGATTTCTGTATGATTACAATCGCTTCTTATAGTCAAAATCAGCACATTTACCGAGCTCCGCTACAACTACGGGTAGCGATGAGAAGTGAGGCAGGGACGAGCTCTGCCTCTCGTAAGCCCACAGTAACTGGCTGGAGCGCGGGCACTAATTTAGCGCGGCCACTTATTTTGTGAGCGCGCTCAAGCCAGTTACTGTGGGGTGAGGTGAGGCACAGATGAGCTCTGCCTCACCTCAGAATGCGTCACCCCACAGAAACTGTCTGGAAAGCGGGCCCTAAGCGCATGCATGCCTGCACCATCTCACTGTCACCAATGTAATGTTTGTAGATCCCTTTATTACATTTATCCTCGCCATCCATAGTCTCTAAATAACTTATTTCACGTATATATGATATTTAGGCTCGCTGGTCTCATCGTACAACGGCAATGAAAAAAGCACCAGGGGAGGCAGCCATAACCTCTGCCGCACTGAAGGGGGCGCAAGTGAGCCCACAGGTTCTTGTTGCTACTGTTATTCTACGCAGAGACGGTGCACAAACAACAAACTAGACTTTTGAAACTTGAGGAAGATAAGGAGGACTTTTACAAAAAAGTAATAGAGATTGTTGTCCAGAAGGATAGCATGGACTTCATCTTCAAGTCAAGGTAAGACCACATTGGTAATGAAAATAGGATCTTACTAAGAAAGAACAATCCAATATTTAGATTTTGGGTATCCTTTTGTTGAACGGTCTGTTTAAAATGAATCGAAGCATCAGACTAAAAAAGCTTTTGAAAATAACCGAATATTTCGATTAAGGTCTAAATATAATATTTGTAAATCTGACTCTGAAAGAGTCAGTGCCTCACCAGCCATGAACCTCACCGCACGTCACTGATACACACATACATATGCTGCAGATAAGCTATACAGATAGATAGATCGTTTTACCGAGTGTGGAATGCTTTACTTTGACCATTTGTTGACTTTTTGATGCACATCGTTTTGATTTTTGTTATTGAATATTATGCTACTAGACAGTTTTTAGGACATACTTTCAATTGCTCAATACTTTTCCTTTTTTACACACTTTGATGAATTTAAATAAACCTTACATTAAATGTACAAAAAGTTTAGACAATGAAATTGCATTTGAATACCATTTGAGCATAGTTCAATAGCCAACGTTTCTCAGTGCCCTCTTTTGTGTCCCAGCAGGCCTCAGACCGCGCAGTGACCCCGCCCTGGAGAAGCTTTATGGAGGGGGGGTAGCAGAGAGCCAGGGGTCAGGGAGCTGCTGCAGCACCCCTCCAGGCAGCTCCTGTTACTCCTCCCAGCGCAGCAGCCCTGCACCCCCCTCCACCCCCCATCACCCCGACTCCCCCCTGCGCTCCTCCATCACCCATCACCCTGACTCCCCCCTGTGTCCCTCCATCACCCATCATCCCAACTCCCCCCTGCGCCCCTCCACCCCCCATCATCCCAACTCCCCCCTGCGCCCCTCCATCACCCATCACCCCGACTCCCCCCTGCGCCCCTCCATCACCCTCTCTCTGTCCCATCTCCTCCTGGAAGAGGATGAGGAGGAGCCAGAGACCAACGTAGACACCGGAGTCTCACTGCTCTCAGACTCGGCAGTCAAAATACTCACTCGCTCTTCCTCCGTGGAGCTGTTGATGACTCCTCACCCTGAGAGACCTGCAGCTGTGGGGGCTTCAGCTGTCCATGGTCTGGCCAAGGAGCTGATTGAGTGTCTGCCACGGACACACAAACACCCTCAGGTCTCCTCCGGGACTTGGGGCTCCGCGGGATGTACGCACGCAGCCAGGAAGGCCTGTAGCAGCAGGACTGTGACGGCAAGACAAAGCCCCCCCAGAGGACCCTTCATAGAGAGCAGGACTACTGCTGAGCTGCTGTCAGCACACACACACAAGACGGATGATGAGTTCTTCATCTGAATCCCTGCTACTACACCTCAAGTCTTGAAATAGATTATAATCATACAATATTGTAGATTTATTTGTGTGGATTGTTCAAAGCCTAGCAGAGTGATATTTGCGGGTATTAATATCCTCAATGTCTTTTATATTTAGATCTAACTAATGATTTGTGCAGCTAAAATGGAGCCCTGTAACAAACCCTGGAGGAAATGCTCTTTACAAAATGTTCCTGTCAGGGTGCGAATGCCAGTGTCTGTCTCAAATTGCCTTTTGAATAATGCTGATCTCAGCAGTCTTCCGTGTCGCTGTTGATCGTGATGAGAGATCTGATTCAGTGTGAGTGCTCTCCACAGCGCTGCAGGTCTAACACAGTACAAGTAACGGCTCTAGTATTTGTGTGTTTAAATGTTTATCTGATTGACTACACCAGATACAATGTATTGCATAGGATTTAACTTTCTTACAGTTAACAGGATGTTCTAACTAGCTACTGAAAGAGATCATTTAAACTACAAAAAGTCGTCTAATATATATTTAATAAATCTAACCATTAGTATAAAAAAACTGCCCAAATGTGTCCTGGGACTAAGACATGTTGATTACTGTAAGGCAGTAAGCTGAGGGATCAGCAGACGGATTAACTTAAGTGAAAACTTAACAAGTATTGGACTGATCAGGTACAGATGGCTGCAATCACTACATCACACATTATAGTCGTAAGAGCTGTAAAGAGACCTGATAAAAGATATTGTTGTATTGTAAAGAGAGAAAATACTATGCATCTAATTCATTGATGAGTTAGGTCAAAATGTTGTCTTCTACAACACAGATTGCGTCTTTCCTGTCAGTCAAGCTTTCAATCACAGCTAAACCTGAATGTGGTTTTCATTTGAGCATCATGGACAGTGTTTACAAAATGCACATCATTTAGGGTTGTACAGTTTGAGCTGCTCGCCGGTCAACTCGACGCTGAAGGAGTTGTGAATGTTTACTATAAATGTATAAAAGTCAGGAAGCATCAGCTGGGAGTGTCCTTAGTGTTTCAAATGTCCAGTGAAGCTTAACATGAAGACATGGTATTAAAAGATAAAAAAACATTTGTTGTGTTTTCTGGTTATAAAGTGTGTGTGTCCTTTCAACAGATGACATTAGTGTACTCTATAGCAGTGTTTCTCAAACTTTTTCATACCAAGGACCACTTAACCAATAAAAAAACACTCGAGGACCACCTAACTCCACAAATATCCAAAAACACATCGTTTTTTACAAATCGCCTGAAAATGGTACCAACAAGTGGCAACATGTGTGATGAAGGTGTTTATCTGGGCTATATCATGCAATCGAAAGTTAAACTTAAGCTTGCTCCATTGCGGAGATATTCCCGCGAGAGTGCGAAAAACTTAAATTACTTAATTAATTTCAAATGTGAAATGTTACCAATATACTCACGGACCACTAGGGGGCTCTCACGGACCACCAGTGGTCCGCGGACCACACTTTGAGAAGCACTGCTCTATAGTGAGCTGAGTGATCAATGATCTGTTTCAGACGGAGACTAAATGACCACCTGCAGGGATGATCACATGACAAGTGAAAAAAGCGAGTCACCGATTAACAACTACTGATGGGTTTGGCCTTCATCGGAACATTTCACCGTTGGCTCCATTTTGAAACATTCACGGTGACAGAAGAATCATTGATGCTTAAAATGCATCACAAACAAAACCGCTGTAAACTGTGTGATAACAGCTGCCACTTGTCTTTACCATGAACTGTACTTTAGGTCGGAAACTGAATCAGAATGTCCCATGATGCTGCGCTTCCTGGAAACTCAGTTCAGTTTTTATGACTTTACTGGGAGGCCCAGGTCTAAGGCTCTTTGCTGAAGCAAGCAACAAACAATCACAGACCAAAGTAAGTAACAGTCATTTATCATATGTGCTTGTGACATTGCAGAATAAATGATAACAAACACACATATTTTAATATTTCTGTCAGTGTGCAAATACTACAAGATAAAGAAGATGGTTTTAAAAGCACACTTACAACCAAACACATTTTTTGTATTATTTTACCTTTATGCACAAGGCTATGGTTAACATCTAGTATTTCTCTGCAGTGTAAATACTCTGTGCTTCAACATGTATAAACCAATGGGAATACGTTTTGTTTAATCCCTTCATGACATGATGTTGCTGAGCTTGGCTTCAATATATTAAAACTCAATGTTGGTTTGTGGTGAAAATGAATAGCACATCATAGTGTTCTCAACAAATGTATCTTACAGCGCCCTCTGCTGGTCAAAGGATGCTGTTGCTCTGAGGAGCGTTGCTGCAGCCAGTCCAGCTCAGGTCCTTGGCCCACTGGCCCTCTTTGGTGACGCGCACCTTCCCCGGGTCAAACCTCCAGAAGCGCTGCTCTCTGAACAGGTAGAGGCGTCCGTCGGGTCGGGTCAGCGCTCCGTTGGTCCCCTGGGGGACCCCCGTCCAGTCTGTCAGCCTGCGGGGGTAGTAAGGCTCCTGGTGCAGAGTTTTTAGGTTGAGCACTGAGTACCGGGAGCCCTTAAAGAGGACCATGTGACCCAGAGGGGCGTAGTAGAAGGCGCAGTCAGGGTGGCGAGGCAGCCCCAAATCACTGCTCCTCCTGGGGAAGCCTGGGTCCAGAACACTGCCGGAGTAGCGCCACATCCGCTTCCCTGCACACCACGAGAGAAGGAGGGAAAGCATGAAGTTACATATCCTATACGTCAACTATAAGGCACTCTAAACGTAAAGGTTTTTTATGATAGAAAACATTTGGAAAGCATCGTCTTTTATATTTGGACATAGTAGCTCCACATATTTCAGTACTTCACATACCATCATGCCATTCACAAGACAAACTCAGTTGAAATGCAATAAGCTCTGTTCTTTTAAACTAAGTATAACCATTGTAAAAAAGTAGCCAAGATTTCTATTGTGCATTCTTCTTCAGAGACACTAAGACTAGCCAAGTGTTTTAGGGTTCAATGTTTTGTGGAATGCTTCTTGTAAGAGCAAAGTGTTTGAAAGTGCCTCTTTTAGATCACAGATAAAAGAAGAAAATGTTTGAAGATGATAAAGATACGTACATTATAAATTATGTTTTAATAGAGCGTCTATATTTTGCATAAAGCTCTTCTGCATTTGGCAGGTAAGTAAATCTAGATAACACTGCCATATTGTTGGCCCTTAGCAGGAGTGTTAAGCTTGGCCATAACTTCAAACAACTTTTTAGCCTTTAGCCAAAAGGTAACACTACTTTAAATCTCCAGCTGAGCTTTAGTGAAGAAAAGCCTTTAAATAGCACTTTCCTCCTTAAAGGGCACTTCACAGTCTATTTTAGGGGCTGGATTTGTGAAGTAAGGCAATAGGTTAGGGAATGGCTTTAAAAGGAAGTGTGAGAGTCACATTATGAGGTCCAGTGAAGCAGTACCTTTGAAGAAATACCACTTGGAGTCCAGGGGGGAGAAGGCAGCCGCCTCGATGGCCGGGGGGAGGTCGGCCCAGCGCTGACGGAGAGGCAGGGGACCGCTGACACCACCCTCAGACGAGACCGTCCAATACACACCCCCCCGAAACACCAGCACCGTCCCATTGTGGTCTGGAGACACAAACAGAGAGATAAATAAAACATCTCAATATTTTTAATATCCATATTACTATGGCATGTTTTTCTGATGTACTTTACTGTGACTTTCATGGCACACAATGACATATTTCTGATATTTTGTAATATAATTGTATATTTTGGGCTGTAAATGTTATGGCTATGCTGTACCTGTTTTATGTCAATCTGTATTATGACTTTTTAGGGCTGACTATGATAATTTTGTACTATGACTTTTTGCTGTGAAATTCTATACAATAACATTTTTATGACATTTCTGGGACTTTTTTATGGCAAGCTGTACTAAAACCTTTTATGATATACTATACTTTGACATTTGTATGGCAATTTTATGGCTTTATTGTACATTTTAATGATGTGCTGTGCAATTATTTTTTATTGTTTTTGAAATATGACATTTCAACACAAACAATTCTATGACTTTTTGAGAAGGTTACATGAAAACTGCTCTTTGGGGTTTTATTTCATTTCAATCTTTGTAATATCACTTTGTCTTGTTTTAGAAAGATATATAAAATAACAGAACGTTTATTTCAGTTTGCTGATGATAATATATTTTAGGTTTAGAGTAAAAAGTCATGAAATGCTGAATGTCATTTTCTAATACTATTTCCGTCCAAGCTCACCCATAGTGATGGCATCAAAGACCCCCTGGCAGTAGAGAGGCTGCCCTGCGCTCTGAGGCCCGTCGTGAAGCTCCGTGAACTCCCACTCCTGCAGAGCGGCGTGCAAAACCTGGCCGGGCAGCCTGACAGGGCGATCACCGGAGGGTTTACCTGAGAGCGAAGACAAAGCAACAACACAGTGAACCTAAAAGGCATCAGAGATCAGGAAAGATGAATCCACGTGCTGTAATATAATCTCTCTGAGTAATAGTTGTCTTTCCACCTGTACTTACATTTCCCACAAATAATTCAAACGGACAGTGACAAAACAAAGCTGTGAGGACAGACATTATGTCACAGACAGTCTCATTTCTTATGCGCGCCAAAAGCACTTAATTGGACAGCATGGACAAACAGACAAACAGTAGAGACTTCATCTTTGAAACCACTTGGATAATGTTAACATTTAAATTGTCCTTGACAGAATGTGGCTGAGTTGATGTAAACTGATGGATGACATTGTAGTGCCCAGGAAATGAACAAGAGCATTCTAGATAGAGCGCCGCACACTGGAACCTTAAACCCAGTGAATTGCTCGCAGGAATACAAAATTGTTGTTATCGTTCTGAACAGATTCTGCAGATTCCTGGCACATGAGAACAAAAGAATGAAGGAAGAGTCAAAGCAGGACAAAAACATACCGGAGCACAAGAGTAAACGACGGTGCTTCAGACATGATTACAGACATTTTGTTTGCAAAGAGCTGAACAAACATTTGTGTAGGAGGTGGATAACATCAGCACACCCAAGAAAAGGAGGAACACGGCAGGGAAAACATGTATACACACACACCACAGTGGAAAACACATGAACAGCTGTGCGTGCGTGCGAGAAGTGTTGTGAGATAAGGGCTGGATGTCTGAGTTCACTCAAACATAACTTCTGCTGTTTACATTCATCAGCGGTAGAAGACTATGGTTTATGTTTTCTATACTACGATGGATTCATTTGTTGCATTAACATGTAACAAAGTACATTTTTGCCACTGTCATTCAGGAGAATATATGCATGTCATCCTATACAGTGTTTTACTGTTCATGATACTACATCACAACATTACGCTCCCAAACTGTGGAACACCCTACCAGTATACATTAGAGAGGCAAGCTCAGTGGACATTTTTAAACTAAGCTTTAGACACATCTTTTTAGATTTTTACAAGAGGCTTCTTTTTATTATCATACCTTTTACCTCCTTGTGTTCCTGAATTGTTATATTGTGCTTGTTTTATGTGCAAAAAGGTTCTTATTTTGAACCCAACATTTGCTGTTTTCTGTCTTAATCTGTGATGTTAGCCGTGTTGTAAAAGCACTTTGAGCTGCACCTATTGTATGAAAAGTGCTATACAAATAAAGCTTTATTATTATGATTACAATCTGTGCAGAACTGTGTTAGTTTATATCAGCACAGTCATTACAAGACGTTTCATTATATTCAGTATTGTACCTGAAGGGACCTTCTAAATAATAATAATAATAATAATAGAAAGATATAGTTTACATTTTACTTGAGTAAAATATCTGAATACCACTGCTGTTGATTAGACCTACTGGAAATTAATTGTCTTATGAAGGAAAAACCACAAGGAGCTCTGGAGACGAACATAATTCAGGCTGCCTCACATCTGCTCCTTATCAGATCATAATACCAACATCAGGAATGGTTCAACACACACACACACACACACACACACACACACACACACACACACACACACACACACTGCCTCCAGCTCATCATTCCTGTCAGTTACGCTTCTCTTTCAGGTCTGTTTCTGGAGCTGCTTGACATTTACGTGGGAGCAGCTGCAGTCTGAAGAAATGACTGCCACAGGGTGGAAATCAACTGATAAGCAAACATGATAAACTCCACCTGTGCGCTTCCCTAATCTAAATAATCCGGCAAAACTTTTTGAAAACAATCGAAAAAATGTCAGAGTCAGCTGTTATGGAATCTTTCTTTTAATACTACTGTATATGCAAAGATTGCCCAGCTAGCTTTTATTTAAAATCATCTACTAATTGTTTTATGATAGTATCTCTTCTTACCAAATATATCAGTGTGTCATGTCATATGTAGGTATTGAGTGTAACGAAGCTGAAAATGTGTGTCTGTGTTAGCAGAGTGTTCAGTTGCTAAAAGGTCCAGAGTGAGTAAGGGAGGCCCCTGGGGAGAAAAGGCTGGCAAAAAACATGTTGGGAAGCTGATGCAAGAATATCTCCAGAGGCAGAGCAGATGGGACCCATCAGATATTAAACACAAGACGAAGAGTCTGGATGCAGGCTTTTTAGTTCAACCTCAAGTTCAGAGTTGAGTTATCCAAATGATTGTGTGTCATGCATACATTCCTGCAGCGTGCTGGGACGTCACGGGCCTTTAGCAGCCGCTCTAAACCCCAATTTAGAGTCAAAGCAGGGAAAGCACTTAATGTACTATTTGCATTTCATACATTAAGAGTATCAGAGGAGGTCGGGTATTTGAAGAATCTATTTAAAAGACTGTGCCCTTGTGCAAATGCTGCGGTTGAATCAATATCTTAGCAGCAAAGAAAAAATAAACGGGAGGAACTCCACGTGTGGAAACCTGCCTCACACATGCCAGAAGGGACGACACACTCACGTTACACAGAAACTATTATATTTGTCATGCAAACAGACGTGTCTTATGCTCCCACACAACACTAGCAATCTATCAAAACAGAGCGGACAAAACTCAAAGGTAAACACCTGTGATGGATAGGATGGATGATGATAATAATTGGTGTGTTTTTGTGTGTGTGTGTGTGTGTGTGTGTGTGTGTGTGTGTGTGTGTGTGTGTGTGTGTTTGAGGGCACTGTGAATGTTATCTTGATGTTCACACCACCTCTGCTGCCCTCAGTTTAAACCTACTTTTCCCAGCAGCTGAAAGGCCTAGAACTAGACCTGATAGAAAAGACTCCTCATGCTGTTAAAGAGAATGAGTAGGTTGTATCAACTCCTTGTATTCAAGATTTCATGTTTCACTACTTTTGCCTCAAACACAATTAAAAGTGCCTGAAAAGTGAGTTTTCTGGTGCTTCTCTATCTGTGTTGTTTTTCATAAACAATGCTGCCATGCACTTTTAACACCATTCATAGCAGGGAGCTTTGTTTCACGATAACTTTCTGTTGCCTCTTCAGAAAACAATCTTAAAGTTTCTGAGAGCCTAAGGACGGGCCTGCTAGATCAAAAATATCTTCTTCAAGGTTATTGAAGATTAAGCAACTTAAAAAATACAGCGAACCACTCACCCATACAGGTCAACAGATGAGTGCGATCTATGTGACCAAACTAAATGTTTCCATTGCCATTGCACAATAACAATGACAAATAATACTATAAAAATAAACCAATACCAGAGTATAAACCATCACAAACTTTGTTAATGTTAAAAAGATCACTAATTTGTGAGTGTTCCAAAAATAGCTAACTATATCCAAAATCCATCTTTAACAAACTCTCAGCAGCTTGGCCTTTCTACTTATTCTCACTCTATGTTTGCAGCTGGTGGCCTTCAGGCTGCCTCTCTGCCCTTTTCACAGCTCAGTGCCACAACTTCCAATTATATGTGCAGCAGAGTAGAAATGACTCTAATTCTGCGTTTTCCTCAAAGGCAACTCTTGGATCAAAAGAAGCAATCAATGAATGTGAGTGGCTTTGTCTATTACAGTCTTAGTTCATTTTAAACTGCAACCGTATTTCCCCATCTTTAACTCAGCTGCCCTGAGGCCAGACAGTGAGACATTTGTCAACCGTCCGTAAAATACATTTTTCTCTCAACCCTTCAGCTTTTAAACCTGAGAAAAAAGTGGTCAAAATGCCTAAGTGGAGGTGCTACCTTTAACACTCCTCCTGACCTTGTGTTGGGGCCACACACTTATCTGTAAATCCTCTTTGGTATCTTGGAAATGTTTGAATCTGGACAAGAACTTTAAGTAAAAATGTTTTTGAACAAAGCTTATTCAACATTTAACCCACAAAAATGAATGGTGGGCTGCAAAAGGTAACCACAAGAAGGCCCTTCCTCTCACCGTACAGCTGCTGCACAGCGATGATGTCGTCCCAGCTCAGCACCAGGCTGCGGCCCAGCTTCCTGTAGTACGGCGACATTAAGGCGTGGCGGATCGGGGAATGCTCCAGTCCCAGCGTGTGTCCGATCTCGTGGGCGGTCACCATGAACAGGTTGTGTCCTTTGTGTCCGTTCAGCGTCCATCTCTCCGCCATGTCAAAATGGGCTTCCCCCCGGCGAGGGAAGAAGGCGTGAGCCAGAGTTCCTCCTGAAAGACAACAAGGAGAGCAACAGTTAGAGACAGTTTACATTCACAAATGCTGAGAGGTGGCTTGATAAGTTTCTCTTCAGTTGTTGATTTAGTTGGTCTATTTTCAGCATTTAGTATTGGTTAAGCTTATTGTTTGGTCTATCAGTAAATCAGTTGGATAGCTGGAACTACAACTAACACTGTAGGGAAAAGAAAACACTTCTTCTTCTTTCGTGTAACGTCAGAGGTCCAACTCGGTGTCGTGTAGCCATGCCCGCATCTCTGGTCCCACGTCGAAGAGGCTGGCTTCCGAGGGTGGTCTATATAAAGGGCAGGTGGTTATTATATGTTCGGCAGTCTGTTCAGGGTCACCGCACTCGCATGCATCACTGTCTGCCAGGCCCCACTTCTTCATTGATGTTTTGAAGCGACCGACCCCAGTTCGTAGACGGTTTAGTGTGGTCCATTGCCGGCGTTGTAGGTCGTCTCCTCCTATGGCGCCATCTCCTGGGTCCCAGATGTAGCGATGGATGCGGGAGGGCCTGGCTAGCTCCCACTCCTGCCTCCAAGCAGCCGCCAACCATGCATCTCTGGAGAGGTCCTCAGAGGTGGAATTGAGAATCTCTTGTGCTGCCTTGTTGAAGGGGAGGCGGGACTTGAGCCTACTTAGGGGCGCTGCTCTCGTTGTCGTGTTATGCAGGATGTGCCAGTCATGCTTTTGGGCTTTCCTGGCCAGGGCGAGGGTGGCAGCCGTCAGAGGCCGGCCGGAGCTATTCCCGCGAGGACTGACAAGAGGGACACAGGGATAGGCTTCAAGCATCCAGTTATAATCCAGAGGGCGTTGTTGATGACCACGTCAACCTTACTTGTGTGAGGGCTTCTGCTCCAGGCTGGGGCGCAGTATTCCGCTGCAGAGAAGACCAGGGCTTGGGTCGATAATCGCAGCGTTTTAGCGCAGGCTCCCCAGGTTGTTCCAGCGAGGCGGTGGATCAGCGCGACCCTTGATGTTACCTTGGCCTTGACTTCTTCAAGGTGTTGTTTGAAGGACAGTGTCCGATCCAGACGCACACCGAGGTACTTCGGGGCTTGATGGACCTCCAGACGTTTATTGTTGACACGCACCTCAAGTTCCCTCCTAGCTTCTCTGGTGCTAAAATGGTATGCCGCTGCTACTGTCTTTCCGATGTTGAGCTGTAGACGCCACCTTTGAAAACACTTGTTTTCTCATCTTTGCTTTTCTATTTGAAAAATCTTGTAATTTGTTCTCGAACTGTATTTTCTAAAGTAACGATTCAAATAATGACAGCTTAATTCACTTAATTAAGTTATTATATATGTGTCTTTTTGTATAACATTGAATTTCTTTTACATCTGGTTGTATTCCCTTTTTCTGTGTTGTGTAAAAAAAACTTGCTATTAAATTAGTTTGAGAAATGTGAAAAAGTGCTAAAAACTCAAACATGCGAACTGATGTGGAGATCAGATCACTGCTCTAACCATATTATAATACCATACTTGTGGCACTAACAGTGCTTCCTGCAGGTGACCTCCCATCCTTAAATTATTTAGTCAACACAATGTTTACCAATCATGTAAACTCTTGCTATTGTGTAATTCTGTTTGGAGCAGTGTGTAATCAAACTATTATCCTAATCTGTAATCCGGTTATTGTGACCGCACAACAGGTCTTGTTCAGCTTTGTTTATTCAGGAAGCGTTGCAAGAAGACTGAGAACAAATTATACACACAAGTTCATGACCCAAAACAATCATCACACACACACTTGTAAAAAGTATGGGTGACTTGAATCAGAGTGTGGTTTCCCTGACCTGGTCCGTCGAAGGCGTTGCTGGCCCCGTCGTTGTGGTCTCCTTCGTAAAACGCCAGCCGGATGTCTACGGTGCCTTCAGGTACCTCCTGGAACACCAGGCCCGACACGTTGCTCCACAGCTGGAAGGCAGCGCGCACCGCCAGCCGCACAGAACCCAGAGACAGGTGGCGAGGCCAGTTCCCGATCTGGTAGGTCAAGTGACGTTTGTACCACTTTTCACCTGAAGAAAACACAGAGAGAGAACATTTAGGTATGAGACATGCAGGTATGAAACACACTATTTTACAGCCATTGCAGATAATCAAATAAAATCCTGGTAGTGTTTTACTGTGCAAGAATATTCCAACTTTTTGTTGGAAAAACACAATTTACTGTAATATAACTAAAGAGTTAATGCCAAAAAAAGTCTTAGAATAAACCAGAATGACAATGATCATAGTAAAGTGTTATGTGTGAACCAAAATCTTGATATTGCTATTTTTTGTCCATAAATGATATTGTAAAAACATCAATCAGCCACACAGTTTCACTGAGCCACATGTTTGGTGACTGTGGTAAGTTTGTGCAATCTAAATACCTTGTTCAGTTTCCATAAATACTCACTAATGCACAAAATCCCTGGTTGAAAATAGTAATTTGAGGGATATTTGCTGAAAACTGCAACACCCAGCTGTTTCAGGAAATTACTTCTTTTATGTGTGACCGGTTTTTTAAAATGTACTTCTGCAGGAGGAATAAATGGGCTTCTGGCTGTTTTTCATTCTGTAACTGAGTATACATCTGACAAAGTCTTTTCAAACAAATATGCACAGTGAGACCATGTTCTTTGTCTTCATCAAACTAATATGTCCGTTTCCTTTTTGTTTGCATGGTGATTTCATGCCTGGTATTTTTACTGGTTTTAATAATGACATGTAAAGTAGTTCTTGAGAAGGTTTCATAAACAATTCATATTATTACCCACTGGAGTAGCTATGTATTTACATAATCTCTGTAGTATTATTAATTCGGATGCCAGATATCCCATGTTCAGCTGTGATGTTTTGAAGCAGAGCCTCTCCAAATCCAAAATGATAGCATATTAACACATCAGCTCACAGCTGGGTAAACTAACAAGCACTCTGTGTACACGCTCGAATAAACAATTTACTTCAACACGTGTCTGGGGGTTTATCAGCTTAGAAATAATTACAAGTGTCGCAAAATTCAGAATATGACATTCGTGACTTTGTATATACGTAGGATTACTAAACCTAGCAATCTAGAGACAAAGCAAACACACACAGACCCTCAGCCGTGCAGCACACAGTCACAACAAGCAGAGGTCGCCTCGCAGGAAACACTCATCAGATAATATGAACCTTTAGGGAGAGCAGCTGAGAGGCTGGAGTCTGAGTATAGACTGCAGTGGTGAACGAGTTGATTTCAAACGTAGAGTTAGCTGTAATAATATATATATCATATAAATCAATTTTAAATAATGTGGCCCTCTAATTATTTATATTGCTTATTATAAAATTGCAGGAGGAATATCTCTTCAAAACTATTTTTTTTTTAAAGAAAATCCATCAAATACTTCAAGTGAGATGCAAACCAATACTCCATTTCATTATTCTATTCAAGACAATTAGACTGCATTTATCTTATGATTATGTTAAGAAATGTTATCAATATAAAAAATGTCATATATCTTACCAAAATGTATCATACACAATACTAGCAGAAGAACAAGGTTTATCAATATGCACATTTTATAGGCACTATTTTCTTTCCCTTTTACACATTGTTTATATCAAGCTCATGGTTTTGAGTAAGACCAACAGACAAACATAGACAGACCACCATGGAAAATGAGCACACTGCAAAGGTACAATGGTCAAACTCAGGTCCTGCCATTTAAAAGTATTTGTACTTGGTAAGAAGGCTTGAGAGGGGGAGACACAAAGTGTGAAATCAAATCACATGGCAGTATTCTGTGTAATGCACTTAAGCCACGAAGGCTTTACAAATGTACACATACTTTCACATTTGAGGCTAAACTAGAGAGTGGCGACATACATCAAGCTCACTTAGAGTTGTCCAAATATTTAGAGATGTGGTCAACGTATGTTTGCCTCGATGTGAAGACTAAATGTGAGTGGGAGGTCTGCACATTCGCCTGCATCGCATCACACAGACGCAGTCAGGTTTGAGTATTTTGATTAAGTTATTTCAATGCAGTTTGTGCAAATTAGATAATATATAGAGTCAAAGAGAGAGTGATTAACAATAGCTTTGCACGACATACTCTAAACTGCCATGAGATCTCAATCGCACCCTGGAGAAAGAAAATATCTGGAGCCATTAAGACATGCGTCTGGCAAAACATCGGTGTGTGTAAATACACAAACAGAATTTGTGCTTCAGCCTTAACTAAACACAAATCTCGGGGTCAACATGAGAGCAGTGTAAACTTGATCCTGAGCATTTATGTTGCAAGGCTTCACAGAAATATTACATGATAAAAGTGAAAGCAGCGGGACCTCGAACACTACAAGTCTTTCCGTTAACGGAATAAAAAAGAAACAAGTAGGTAGGTTTCAACCCAAAGAGAAATGTAAGTGAAAGTCAGATTTGTATACACAATTCAATATCTGGAACAGTGGAGTTATTTGACACTCGATACTCCCCTACTTTCCCAACCCTGTTTCTCTCCCAGATGAACGATACGCATTAGGCTTCTTGCCACGTGATGTGTGCAGATCTGTGTTCTCAGCAGAGCTCAGGGGCCAGACCGCCGCAGAGTCAGAGTCCCCGAGGATGGCAGAGAATTCAGGAAGTCAGATACACAAGACATTCCCCGACTTCCCTTATGGAAGCAATTATCATGATGCCCTCTATAGCAACAGTGTGGGGAGGGCCGATTATCACAGACATTAGGAAGTGACTGAGATCATCTGATAGCCAAAGTTATTGTTTGTGGGGGGGCAGAAAGATTTTGTTTGTAACTGGTGTCAACTTTGAGGTTGTTCGAGACAGCTACATGCTAAGGTAAGCGAGCCAACATACTCACAATGACAATGCTCACCTGCTAAAATAAAAGATGTGAATGTTGTTGCAATTTATCCTCAGGGGGACATGTGTACCAAATTCCACGAGAAAGTATCCAATAGCTGGCAAAACAATTAATTAAATACACAGAATATCCACATCCTTGTTTATTCAGGGGGAAAAGTAGGGACACAAACAAATAAGAAGTTATAGCCCGATCAACAACTGATGTTAACGTCTTTCAGGCTACGTTGTTAGCAATTTCTGTCAATATTCGAATGGACTTTTTACTAAGTCTGAATTGCGGCAGACTGCGGTTCAAGTCCGACCCAGGAAACGTTGCTGCATTTCTTCCCCTCTAAATCCCCCTTTTCAGTCTTTCTGTCTCTCTATAGAATAAAACACTTATGGTGCTTATCTTGGACCAGGGAGGTGGAATGTCAGCTCTGTAAATATCAGTGGGAATGACCATCAGATCCCACCACAAGCCAAGGTTTGTTTTCAGTTTCTAGGAAGCTCAGAGACAGCCATGTTCACACAAAACCAATCAGGTCACAGCACAGCTGAGAGCGAATAAACACGCAGCACACCTGACTGTGCATATCAATTGACGTAGTCCATCGAGTAGCTGTCAAGAACAACCAGCCTAAAAGAGTCATAAAAGACTTGTAAACTAAATTCAAATATCAATACTACTGATTACAACAAACAAACAACAAACGCTTTACATTTGCCGGGATCCTTATTTTTCAAATGGGTTCACATTATATGTAACATGTTGTCATATTTATTGTTGGTATTTAAATGTCATAATGGTTGTTTTTCCTGTAAACAAACAGGTATTGGGTATCTGTCAGTCCTGGAAGCGGGATCCTTCCTCTGTCTTTATATTTCATCAAAAATCAAGGCAGCCTTTTAGACAAAGTGATTACAATTCATCCTAAGCATTCTTCAAATCAAGCATCTCCTGCCACTATGAGACAAATAAAACTAATATTTGAGTTTAAGGTGGTGGATGCACGGGCGCATTATACACACAATTTCGTCATTACATTGCTGAACTACACCAGTGGATATGTGAAGCCAGATCAGAAAGAGGTCTGACCTCAGGGTGTAAAAGTATCTGCTACTTAACTCTTTGTGTAATAATACTACCACCTGTCGTATGAGTCACGTCTGGGTGTAAAATAATGACAGAGTTTTTTCTTAATCAAGGACAGGCTGTAATCCAATCAAACAGTCCGCCACTCAGGAGAATATCTACTCATTGAGGAACGATGGCAAACAACATAATCCAGGCAGTCAGTTATGGATATGTTTACCAGAAGGAACATGTCAGGTACGGACAAGAAGAGGCCGCGGCAAACATCAGCCTCCGCTGCATTCCCTGAACATTAGCCAACCTCGTCAGTGAGAGGAAGGAATGCAAGGGCTTCACACATCATGAGGCTGGAGGCTCAAGGAGAGAGAGGAGGAGGAGGAGGAGGGAGAAACCTCCTGCTGTTGTCACCAGGCTGTTGCTTTGCATTCACAATGCATGTGAGGAATGACAGCACCAACAAAAGACAATGAGAAAAAAAGTGTACACAACTTGTGTGTTTTCATGCGGTCTATGAGTCAAACACATGGTGCAAATGGATTCAGATCCATAACAAATACAAATGATTTACTCTTAGTACTTTCCTTAACATTTCATTGAGTTCATTTATGAGTTCATTTATTAACCCTAACCCTAGTGTCACCAATTCCACAGATCTCTTAAGTCATATGGCCTCATCCACCCAATTTAAACCCCAGGCATGAGGGGAAATAAAACACATATAGCGAAAAAATATATATTATAATTTAAAGTTTTGGCCCCAGCTCCATTTGATTGCTCCCACACATGTCTATATAAGAGCGGAACAATTCCACCTCAAAGATTTTCTCTAAAGTACTCATAGGAGGGAGGATCTAAATTACCTCATGGAGTTTGTAAGAAACTTGCAGTGCCCAGCTGCACTCGTAACTACCGTTAAACACTTTAAATCCTGAGGCCTTTAGCCAGTTCAAATTGCAGTGATTGATCACCAATGGATGCTTTATTACTGTGTTTATAGCGGATAATCTCAAACAAGAGCCTCAATTATTCTTTAAAAGGCATTTAGGGAAGGAATCTAACAACAAAATTCCTACAGCATTACTTTAGGGGACACATCTTGGAATAATAGAGGAGATTGCTTAAACCCAAGGGCTCAAAGACAAACTGGAACTGAATCTGCATCTGCAAACTATGGGAGTGTTGTTCTTGACTAAAGGGATCTTCAAACTTTCTCAACTTACAGAGGAGCTCCTAAATAAATGTTGTTGTGCCGGTTTTTCGCCCATTAAAGATGACGTACTAGATACATGGACTTATGGACTTGTGTAATTGCAGTTAAAAGCAGGAATCATCCAGGCTGACTCTTGCAACATCAGACACTCCTCCAGCTTTAATTACACCCCTCAGCTCCATTTAGTGCTTCAGTTTACGCAGGGGGACCCTCCCAGGTAACCGTTGTCTTTATGGCCGCTCCAAAACACAATAGTTCCACTTACAATAAAGGTTGAGAATGGTCAAGAAAAGTCCATAAAATGTACAAAGGGAAGTTAAGCTCAGGAATTATGGACATTTCATAGTTATAATATAAAATCCATGTTTTACTTCCAGCTACTCTAGTTATTACGTCATGTTAAGATATTTAATTAAATGTAACACCACGCACTGTATTCAGCAGTCATTATCCTCCAGGTCCCACCAACAGCAGCCGCACATGAACAATGCTGGAAAGTGAAGATGGTTGATGGATAAGTGCATTCATCTACAGTTTTTTTTGGAACCACTCGAAGTGCGTTTACAAAACAAGTCAGCACTTATCCATTCACACACACATTCAAACAGGGTTACCATACAAGAGGTAACCTGCTTATAATGAGTGTTAACATTCACACACACATCATTGGTTATGCAATTTGGTGGAATTTAGGGATCAGTATATTGCCCAAGTCACATGGGTATGTTGACCGCAGGGTTAGGGATCGAAGTACCATCAACAATGATTGACAGACAATCTCTCTACCTGAAGTCCCAGACAAATATTTTTGTTGCTGTTAAATGAAGGTTATATCAAATTGAAGTTCAACTGTAAAATGGATGATTCTTTTTCATTTGAATGAAATACAGTCCAAGCAAATACTTAAATCCTGTTTGTTCCCATTTACTCCTTTTTATTCTCATGGAAAATGTCCACTTTGAATACTGCAACCTTATAGGGCATCACAGCTTGTAAGTGTTAGATGATGTCTTCGCTACAAATAAACATACATGCTTTCTCATACGGTAAACATACTCAAAAACAAATAATAAAATACACATGGTGACTCACACATGTCCACTCTACAAACAGTACCTTGTCCTGCAGACCTCCTGCGGCGCTGCGCTCCTCTGATGGCGCCGCTCTTCCCAGTGAACACGGCGTTTACTCTCTGAGCCCAGATCTTCTGGCTGCCCTCGTCCGACACGCCACAGCGCGGCTCCGCCATCTGCCTCAGGGTGGCCCCGTCCAGCTGGCCTGTCACAGGAAGCCGAGACAACCACTGGAAGTCACTGCAGGGGGGGAATGTTTGCATGATAATCAAGTTTAAAAGGGTATAACACACTCCTCAAAATGCTGATGGAAATATACATATATATATATATATATATATATATATAAATATACATATATATATATAATGTAATTGTTTAAATGGGCTTTGAAGCTTTTTAGCATTGTCACTGTGTGAGATAGTGGCTCAGGTGGTTCATCGACCTAAACATTTACAAACACTTCTCATTGTTATTTTTCAGGCAATCTAGAAGCTAAGAACAGGATGACATTTGACATGTTTCTCAACTAACACAGTTCACCAATCAGAAAGATGCACATGTTATAAATGCAAATTCAATTGTAAATGTTTACACAAGGAATAATGCATAATATGTTTTCCCATGTTGTTTTAACGTTTTGTGTTCTCAAAGAAGTGATATGGATTGCTCTAAATCCCACTTTATTTGTAGAACTACTTTATAAGTAGTTTATTTTCTAATTCATTTAGGAGGGAATAAATCACAGGCCACTCATCCGGGCAGATGAGTTTATGGTGATTTGTTTTCTCAGTGATTCATTATTATATAGACATATTGTATGTGTTCAAAGGCTCAGGTTGTTGTTAGTTGGTTGTTGTGTCCCCTAATGGTTGTGTTATATATTGTTTCCTATTATGAGTATGAAGGTTACCGACGTGTTTGTTATGGAAGTTTTGGTCAAAATACAAATAGGGACCCCAGGGAGATTAGCTACTGCATCAATACTTTAGCTAAAGGGAATATAAAAATAGTTTCAGCCCAACATTTCAGTTAAAGCAAGCTTTTCCATCAGTTTGCCTTGCAGTACAGTCAGTGTAACAGTTGTAGAAATGCCTGGGTGGTTCAGAGAGGGTTCAGGGGAGGTTTCCCGGAGCAGAGGTGAGGGCGTGTTTACTGCCCTGCACTGATGCTCAGGCCGGGGGGCTTGTCCCAGACCAAGCTCACCCCTCCCCCTGATTACTCTGATAATGTAGAACAAAATACTGTATCTGCCACTTTGTTCTCATATCATATTCATATAAGGGCATTGAACGTCCACATTGATATTGGAACAAATGCTACCTATTTTTCTGAAAACAAAAATTAAGAAGAAACAAAGACCACATTTACCACCTACCTGATAGCTGACTGCATCTCTACTGCATTGTGGATATGGTGGTCCGGATGGAGATAGCCGTACTTTTCAAGAAAAACCTGCAATTAAGGTAGAATGTGTTAATAGTACTCTAAACTAAACACAACCTTTATTGTCTGCCCCTCTGTAAAAATGTGATAATCTCAATGGAACACTTTGCTTCTCATAAAACTCTCTGGTAAATTCCCAGAGACACATACCTTCCCATGAGAGAAAATAATAAATCATAAAAGTGTAAACACCATTTTCCATTTGTACTATAGCTGCTGTAGGTTGCCAAGGAGGTGTATAGATATGGATCACCCGTAAGAGAGAGAAACCCCCGGGGTGTCCCTGAAAATTCATAGTCATTATTTCTCAAGCATTCAATGCAAACATCTGAGAATACTTCCATGACTATAAAATACACTACCAAAAAAGCAGCCAACTGGATACATGACAACAGATGTTGTGCATTGTGGTTTAAGATTAGCCCTAGATGGTTTAATATGACGATCTCTCATGTGGATGTAGGTTTCGTGTTCAGACAACAGTAGATGCAGCTATGATTACAGATCTGGTGAAAGTGGCATGGAAATTAACATTGAGGCGATGATGGATTTGATTTTGCAAACAGGAATGTGCAACATAAATTTCCCTTTGTCCAATTAGAGACACAAAAAATGCCAGCAGGCTTTAAATGTAAGAACAAGAGTATGGTTGTGGAAACATATGTAAAATCCTAACACTATATTATGCTCCTGCAGCTTATGGATGGACAGGAAAGACAGATGTCAAATTAAACGAGTAATGTCCAAACCACAGGGAGGCAATTATATTGTAAAATCCCAAAACACCCTGAGACACAAATAGTTGTATTGGGCTCGGTCTCCCTGTATGTCACCATGCAGACACAAGTGTATGGGTGAATAAACTAAACTCACAGCACTTCTCAAGACAGATTTGGTTATATTTAACTTTTACTTAATACATGTAGTTTCCCAATAGCCTTAAGGAAACTTTCAGTACATCATAATCTAAAGTGACTTGTCATTTTCTTTTTTTAAAGGCACCTAAACCCTGAATTGTACCCTTTTATTAAATTGAAGTAATCTTATTTTAAACAATTGAATCTGCATTTTAATACCACCCCCGTTGTATTGAAAATGAAGTTATTGTAACAACGTTATAGTCTAAATTGACTACTTTAATACAATTAATATTGGATTGACTTCAGACGTAATTAATTGTTGTTTGGCATTCAAAGTTGAAGAAATATGTAAAATGTGTTTTTTTACACAAAGGCTTATGTTTGGAGTAAAATTCAAACAATAGAAATCCAAAATGTGTTCATTAAAAAGGTTAGAATAACTTAATCACAGATACTAAACAGGACAATACTGTTTAGGTCTAAAACCAAACTAATGTTTATATGTTTCATAATATTAGTAAAAGTCATAGATTATTAAGGAGATACAGAGTAAAGTATATTTGTTGATGGAGCCCAACATGATTGTGGTTAACAGCAGTATGACAGCAGGCAGAGCTGGGAACACTACCGGTACTTCTACTGCACCACAACTTGCCTAAATAATGTAACTATAATATGCAAGAAATAACATGGCAAATGATACAGAAAACGGAACCGCCGAGCGTCATTACGAATACGTGAATAATGTTCTGCAACCAGCTACACTATTTCAAATGCAGTATTAAAAGCTTTTAGCATCAACAACAAATCTAATATACCTATGTATCAACTAGAGACAGAGAGGCTGCATAGTGAGTAGTTTTATCATTTTTACTTCAATTATTTTCTTCAATATTCTTAGATATCAGGTTAAATAAACCCAATGCGACTTTTCTTTATAAAAACGTGACAGGCTACTTCAAGTCAAGATAACAATACGCAGTAAATGGTTTGACTGTTGACCATTATAAATAGGCTACTTTTAAGTCATACATCTACCAAACACTGTTGATCTAAAGCAAGGCGTACCTCCGGGTCGGAGAGCAGTGGGTCCCCCCCGGCAGTCTGCGCGGTGATGAGGCTCAGGGTGAGGACCCAGGCCCTCAGGTCCCGGGCCGGAGGTCGGCGGCTCATCGCGGGTCAGCCTCACTACCGAGACCCTGCTCCTCGCATGGCGCATGTCTGTAGAGCTCCGAATATTTCTCTCATTGTTGGTTTCCCCCGCTGTCAGTAAGTGAGAGCATGCTGCTGCTCGCCTTACATCTCCATCCCCGCGAGGAGTGACGGAGCCTCCTCACCCACCGGGAGTCACAGGGGAGGCGGGCCGGTCCCTCCCCTCTGCAGGCAGCTACACGGCCCAATGCAAAGAGCATGGCAGCCTTTACTTCTTTAACTAGTTCAACTTTAAAGATGCAGTTTTAATATTATGCCGGATACAAGTGTCTGTAATAATGCGAATAAATGGTACAAACTCACACGAGCACATGGAAAAGATCACAGTTTTATTTTTAATATTTTGAAAAAAAAAGAACCCAAGTAAAACATTTAATCGGTTCATACAAAACATGGTACGAAGTCTACCTCACAAAAACGCCTGCGACTAGAATCTGAGAGGAAATTAAAAAGATGTACAAGGAAATAAAACAAAAAAGCAGAGGGGGGAAAAAAACAAAAAATACATTTGACCACATGCCAACAGTGCCAATCCGCCCCAAAGTCCCTTTACAGTAGATCAACATCTCCGTCCTGCGCTCAGATGAGCAGTAATAGTTGGGATAGTCTGGCTTTGAAAAAGGAACATAAATCGGTGATAAGACGTTCGGATAGATGTTCCTTTTCTCCAGGTTCTCCCGAACTAAACCCTCCCTCCATGGCGAACTCAAGGGCTGGAGTGGTTTCTATCTGCTCAACTCCTAGTATGGCCGCTCTCTTCTGTCATCTCGACGGTCACCTCTGCAAGGGAAAGACAGATGTGCGTTACCAGCTGAATATTTTTTCTGAAGAACATCGACTTCTGTCATTGAATTAACCGCTATCATAGACAGACAAAGATGAGTGAAATAGTGTCAATTTCCCCTCATTCACCTTCCTTTCAGTAAAAGAAGAAGCAGGCAACAGCACTTCACCTTCAGTGAGCAGCAATATATCAACAATTGCAAATACTAATGACCCTCCAAAGGACAAAAACAAAGTGCCCCCCCCCCCCCCGTGACTCCCGGTGTAGTGGATTATTTAGACTCTAGACAAATTAATTAGCAGGGAGTGTCTGTAAGAACCTTGGTGAGAAGACAGACCCAATCAGATATTGGTAGATTGTTTACACCAAGAGGGTAAGGGGCAAGAATAGTTCTACTCAAATCAGTGAGTATGCACCATACAAACATATCAAACAGCCGTCTATTGACACTACTCCTCCACAAAGAAAACAATCAAATGTAAAGGCCTTTGCCATCTCTTGAATTTTAAAAGGCAGTGGCGATTCATTGGTCAATGTCTTAATTATTACATATTAAAGAATACTATAAAGATTGATAGAGAACATTTTAACCATGTTCCAGATTCATGTGCAACTATTCATAGCGATTGCGCCCTACAGTGGTTATACAACCAAACTACATCAGCAGAGACCCACAGATCAAACGAGTGTCCTTTGCATGTGATCAACAAAGAAAATGTACACACTGCCAAAAACAAAATGTGATTCAACCCACCTTCCTCCCATCTTGTAACCTCCTCCTCCATATCCTCCGCCACCTCCGAAGCCTCCACGGTCTCCCCCACGGTCTCCCCCACGATCTCCACCACGATCTCCACCACGGAAACCTCCTCCACGACCTCTGAAGCCACCGCCTCTGTCTCCGCCAAACCCTCCTCTGCCTCCACGGTCTGCGGACACAGCCAGAGGGATTATTCCAGTGAAACAAGGGGATCTTTTTCAACAAGACCAACAGATGGTAGGAACGCTTTGGAACTAAAAGGATTGAAATAAAGAAGCACTCACCTCCACCAAATCCGGCATCTCCTGGTTTGGGAGCGCCACACTTGTTACACTCCTGCCGCCGGGCGAAGTTCATGTTGCCACAAGAGCTGAGGACAAAAACAAAATGCATTTAAGACAACATCACAAATGGGGCAAATCGGGGTATGATGGTAACAAATAAATAAAAGTGTGTGAACAGTAATACATATTTTTCTAGACAAATAAAAACCAGATGCTTTGAACAGACTTGACATTTCAGGAGATAGGGTGAACTCCTTTTACAAATAAATGGCCATCATTTTTTTGTCTTTTACATGCCGTCTAGTCTGGTTTAATTTAACAACAAGAACATGATTTAAATATTGTAAATAATTCAATGCAATTCAGCCGAGGTCTACTGTTAACAAACTTATGTCAGAATGTAATCGTTTACTTCCAAGCAATGACAGCAATTGAGAAGTCTTAACCAACGCTGGGTAAATTCACATTTTCTAATCATACCTAGACTTTTCAGATTTTAGTTAACTTCTTAACCCCCGAGCCTGTTCTCCAGGTCTCAGGCTCGAAAATGACATTCCCAGAACAAATGACCATAACTTCACTTCTAAAAAAAGGTTAAATTAATAAAACAAATTCTCAAAGCAATGATAAACCTGTGAGTTGGATGTAGAAAAGTCAGAATCAATATATATTTTTATATTTTAAAGTAAATTCAGATTGAACACAGTAAAAAAGTTTAAATTATTGTGTCCGTCCAAAAAAAACAAAAAACATTACTTATAGTGAAAACCACCCTTGAATGATGGGATGGTAGACTAAAAGCTTTAGGATTCCAAACTATAACATAATAAGTACCCTGTATCAAGATTGATGCAAAACAAGTTAAATTTCACCTTTTTAGAGAGAATTAGCAAAAAAAAACCACTTCTGGGGTCATTTGACCTATCTCTGGCCCCCCATGGTTGATTTTGATGATTGACATCGATCTTTAACCGTTAGAGCCAATAGAATCGAGGGGAAGTTCAACATACTAAACCAAATAAGAGTGAGAGTGACGGGTAGCCAGAATACCCAAAACAGGAAGCTGTCATACACTCTAGTAGCTATCATTAGCAGCTAATATGAAAACTCAATTTTTGACATAAAAATTGAATTATGGATTATTAAAAACCTTTTCAAAGTCACAGACACATTTGATTAACCTATGGATTAACCTTCAGCAGCGTTTTTATCGTTTTAATACCATTGAACAGAATAACAGCTAAAGGTGAGCATATCTCCGTTTTTTGCTACCTAAAGCTACGTGTTGTGATGTCTGTTTGTTTCCCCTGTTCTGGTCGCTCAGTGATGATACTGATATTTCTGGAATCTCAACTTGCTAATCGATATATTGTATGTGCAGTTACGATAAGTAATAAGGGTATTTATTAGGGGTGTTGAAAATAATCGTTTCTACGATGCATTGCGATGCGGACGATTCGGTCTCGATGCAGTGACGGAAGATAATCGGTTATAGCGTAGTAACGTTGCTTCCTGATTTTCCGGCCGCGGCTTTTACTATAACGTTTTTTTCTTCCTGTCACTTTAATATCAAATCGGTCGGTGACGCAGAGATCAGGGAACAGACGTGACAGCGGCACAGCAACACCAAACACGGAGCAGTCTGCTTTATCCACCAACACAAGAACACCAGTCCAGAACCAACAGCAGAAGGACCCGCTCTGAATCACTCCGTGTCGCTGCGGCTCAGAGACACAGGGATTTATGTTTTTCAAAAATAATCGCGTTACAATCATGTCAGGTTTTTGGTGGATTTAATTAAGTCTTGGATTGCAGAGTATGAATGTCCTCTAGCAATTTGCAGACGATATATACGTGTGTAAAGTTTGTGAAGGCAGGAGGAAAAAAGCTTCCGCGATCACCGTCTCCTCTGTTCCTCTAAGCCCCGCCCCCTCCCTGAAAATAATGAGTGACAGGCTGATAGTGACCCGATAGAAACTTTATTAATCACTGAGATATAATGAAGCTAACTTAATCTCATACATTCATGGGATTTATGCAACAGTAAGACAGAGAATGTAAGTGTGCACCCACATGCAGTATTTTTGTTTGTATATGCTATTGTAAATACTCCTGTTGTCTGCTGTGTTCAGACTCAAGTCCTGTGTGTGATGCCACATTCAGGACATTCAGTGGCCTTTTTTTTAACAGAAGGCCGTTGCTAGAAGCTGCAGCTAAACTGCAGAAGCAATATTTTTTTGTTTTTGAGGATGGAACAACTTCACACACGGAGGCTAGACCTATACAATTCATTTATTTTGGTTTATAAATTAATGTCAAGACATTTATGTTATTGATTTCTGAAGCACTTTCTAAATAATAAAAAGAGAGTTCATATGTATTTACTGCATGTATGCATTGATGAAAAATAAGTCATGTGCAGTAATCTAGAAAATTGAGGATGCAACGCATTGGTATGAATCGTGATGCATCGTGATATCGAATTGAAGACAGGATAATCGTAATCGAATCGAACCGAATCGTGAGACCAGTGAATATGCACAGCCCTAGTATTTATACCCTGAGTTCTGTGCTAAGTGCTTTAGCATTTTTTCACTCAGGGCTCATTTAGACGCTTCTTTTGAGACTTGTGTTTTGTTTCGGTAAAAATGGTTCATATCGTCAGTTAGCTGAGTTTCTTCCCGTTAAGTGAGTATGACACATTAATAGTTAATTAAATGTTAAGAAGCCCTGTGACACGGTTTCGTGAAAAAAAGCCTGTTAAGGCTTAAATTAAACAAAGTATTGGTTCTTGTGAAATTGAGTTTGGAAATGAATGAGGACTGGGGTTCATTCCCAAATAAAAAATGTTTACCATATAGTTATCAACAGTTCCTCCACCACGTAATTAGCCAGGTGTTAAATGCGCCCCCGCTGCTGCAGCCCCCATCAACATACTTTAAACATTAGCATCAGAAGCAAACTAACCTGTTGGGACAGGGCCAGTCTCCTCCCTTGATGTCAAAGTTAGGTCCGCCTCCTCCACCTCCTCCGCCTCCTCCACCACTGCTGCGGCCTCTGAAACCTGAAAGCAGAAAGCGATTGGTCAACACATTCTGGAGGGGAAATATTCACATGAGCACTTTTCAAAATATAGATATTTGACGCTTGGGGCAGCTCGATTTTTTACACACCCCCACCTCCTCCACGTCCTCCTCCTCCTCCTCTTCCTGCGCCTCCACCTCCTGCTGCTCCTCCTCTCTGTGTGAACTCCGCTCTGCGGGTGGCAAACGATACTTTGAGAGTTTTCCCGTTTAAACTCCTTGCCTGTGATGAAAAGACAAAATATCCGTGAGAAGGATCCTGAACGTTTAGCAGGATTGATTTGAAAAATGTCAACTCACAACACTGGTCTTACCATCAAACCAGCTGATAGCAGCTTTGGCAGAGGGCGGGTCATCGAAGGACACGGTACATTCACCCTTTGGCTGACCGGTGGCTTTATCCGTGTAGATGTTGATCATAAGCAGGCCAGTCTTTTTGTTCAACTAAAATCACAAAATGAGGACAGGAGTCTCAGTGGATATTCTGCTCAACACGATGAAAGAATATATTTGTTCAGGTTTCTTCCATACCTTGATGATTCCTATTTGCTTGAAGTAGTCACCAATTTCCTGAACTGTGGCGTCTTCTGCCAGTCCCTGGACAAAAATGGTGTTGTTGTCAGAGTTGTCCTGATCATCTGTGGAAGAGATAGACAGAGAAGACAGCAGCAGTGATTAGATATGAGATCGACTGTGTCCATCGAAAGGCGGAAATAAAGAGCAACGACTTCACAAATGATCATATCTGGATGCGATGCCATGGCAACTCTTGGTAAAAACTTGGAAGGCTGCACTACCATCTAAATGCATAAGAGCCAAAGTAAGCAACCCTTATAACAGGGTATATGCAGGAATCCTGAAGTCAAATGTAAAACCTTTTAAGACCTTTTTTAAGACCTCATCTCCACTTGGAGTTTTAACACTTTACCTCACAATTACTATATACAGCAGGGCTATTCAATTAGTTTGGAATGGGGGCCGGTTGATGAAAATGATTCAAAGCAAGGGGCCGGGAAAAAGATGGCTTGAAATATGAGCAATCATATTAACAGCTTCAGATACAGTAAATACTACAACAGCATAGTGGAGTGCATACAGTATATTGTGTTTAATTCAATCAAACAACATAGCCCCAAGGCCTTTAGAGATCTAAATGGCAAGTTCAGAACTCAGTAGGCCTACATGTGAAGCTAATTTAACCATCAACATCATTTCATTTGGGTGAAATTATCTAATCATTCACGCAGACATGCAATAAAGGACAGGAGTTGTCACTACAGTAGCTAGTAGGTGGGTTCGAAACCCGAGCCCGCCGAAGTTTTCAGGCAATGTCTTCCCCTCTATCTCTCAATGTAACTCTCTCTCTGGAATAAAGGCACTCTGGCCCAAAAAAAAAAAGTTGATTACTTTTTAACATTATACTCAAAGGGCCAGTAAATATCACCCCGGGGCCGGATCTGGCCCGCGGGCCGCCAATTGAATAGCCCTGATATACAGTATTGATTTTCCTTCCAACTATTTGGACGCAGACTTGCATTTCCCCATAACGATGTTGTTTAACAACAGGCGTAAACGGCCCTTCGCGTGCTATCAAGCCTTGAGCGTGTGATGTCCTGTTCAGATTACGTCAAATCCAACAGGATGCCATAAATAAACTACACACCTACGCAATGATTACATTCAGGCAGACTGTAGAACACAACCTCTTTGGACAATTTATATACTTATTGAAAACAAGCTACAAAATGTAATACCTTGGAAAATGCCGTTTAATACTTTTTGATAGCATTGATTGATCCACTTTTAATACTATTGAAGACCCGGCGGACACCCTGTATAAGTCATTGCTGTTTGTACTTCTTATTTGCAGAAACACAACAATTATATTGGATTAACTTCAAGTTAAGATTCTTACCGTGTTCATCCCTTGAGTCCAAGTCTCGAGAGCCTGTAAAAACAGAGAAAAGGTGGAAGAACTTGAGCAAATAAATGTAAGAAACTGTCGCACTGTTTCACAGAAACAATTATTAACTTCATCCCTACCAATGCATACTGATAAAGGAAATTAAAGAATGTCCATGTTTACAGCTTTCTGATGGGTGTTTTCATACCGTTGCATCACATACCAACACCGTGCAACAAGAACAGAATCGTTCTGGTTTTGTTTTTTTTGAGCTTACACCAGAAATGAAAACCACCAAAACCTTCTTCGTCCTGGGAACTGCTGTCAGTTACTATCAGCCCTCGTTTTCATGCAACAAATACCATTATTTTACAACTCAGGCTCCTGTTCTTTACCGTATGTGAAGTACTTTAAGAGAAACCCTGCTAAGACTAATAGGTGGAGTCCCATGAGGTCTGGACATGAAAATGGTGGCATTCACTGAGGTTTTCTTTTTTTTAATCCCCCCTTTTTCTTTTTTGCTAACTCAAGTTCTTTCCTCCCCCACCGACACAGTTCTGATGCTCGTCACTTACCACCGTAATTTTTGTAGCCACCACGGTCACCACCTCTGCAGAGGAAAAATTGGAGATATGATGGCTTTTCCTTTGTCCCAACTGAGAGCTCAAAGCTCCACTACATCCCCATCAGTATGCACTCCCGCCAGGGTGTGCGACTATGGTGGAAATGTCTCAAACGAGGAATGAGTTAGTCTTTGACATTAGAGATCAGATCATTGAACAGACGACTAGTAAAGCTCTGACTGAATAATCGGGTATACGGTTGAAGACAATACTCACATCGGTGTCACCGTTTACAATAAATGTTTTTTTTTCATTTACATGACCAAATTGGATACCAAGAGCCGGAAAACCAGCTGAATTTTCTTTCTTTTTTTAACACGAGAAGCCAAATTGGTGTGAAGGGGTGTAGCGACTGATAAGCAATCTTCCACATAGAGCATTTATGAGATCCTTTAACTGAGGTCCAAGTTTTAGTTCAATGAACACCTGTAGTATAAAATGTAGATCCATGTTAACACAACACACATGTTCGCCATCGTCAAATACACAACACTTGTATGAAACCTGTTGAATGTGAAGCAGCTGAAGATGTAGCTCCAGGTCTAATAGCATCGTTTCAGTGGCGTTTCCATGGTTCAAAAACTAACATGTGGTCCTTGAGCACAACAAACACCAACATTGATAATTTGGCATTTCATAAAAGTATGGCTCCTGGAGATTTAATGTAAAAAATATGAAAAAAAAAAAATGTCTTCCCTCTAGGTCAATTGATAACATTTAGTTAAACAATTTAAAAAATGGCTTTCACTGGTTTCACGACCAATAAGAGGCAAATAACCGCCAGTAGTGTGGAGCAACATTTGGAGTTCTTGGATAGTAACAAAGTCTGCACCCCCAGAAGTAAATAAATGCTATACTTGTACGCAAGGGCAACACAAATATCTGTTAAACTGTGAAGGTTAAAAAGGACCCTTTCATGGTAATGTGCCCCATTGTTCTCCTTGCAGAATATTTCACAGCCTCTCAAAATGGCTCTCTTCCCGTTTGAAAGACTGTTCTGTTGAAGGATGGACAAAACCTGTATGCAATTCTGGGATAATACGTCTGTATAAACTGGTCTCAGGTGTCTAAGAGCTGCAAATTGGGGGGGAATATTCAAGGTGGAAACTTTCCATGGGAATTAAATCAGCATAAAGTTAAAAAAAAGATAGGGGTCATTTGCCATGACATGTGAAGATAAAGTCCACACTTTGTAACCACACCATTTTGCCAAACAACTACCTAGTTTATTTTAAATAGAGCGTGAAATTGTCTAAAAAAGGTTATTTTGGTTGAAGGTTAGCAAATGTTTTATATTAAGAATGAAAGAAAAATTGATTAATTAAAAACACTGTAGTTAGCATGCTCATTCAAGCTATATTCAACATGTTAACGGCTAGCTAGCAAACACTAGCATAATATGACACCAACGTATAAACTGTACTTCGTTTTAGGTTCTCATGATTATATATATGATAATATAATGCATTCACTTTAGTAATATAATTAAAACTTACATGAACACATGGAGTCCTTTGGCTGTGAGCTACATGTTTGACAGGAGCATGCACTGAGCATGCAGCACCAGCTGCTGGTCAACAATCAGTTCATGTTATATAAGAGTGTGCTGTTGAATGTAGTCCTGGTTACTATTTAATAAGAATGTATCTACTATAAAACCTGGTGTTGCTTTTTAAGTGCATTACCCCCTTAAATAGCATTCAAATAAAATTCTGATTAATGGAAATATGCAAAATTCTCAAACTTAACTTCCCGACCCTTTGCAACCCTAGTTGTGCTTTCCAAGCTCCTTTCCTTAAGCCTAAAGAGAACAGGTAGATCCTCCTAACCTCTCAATAACCACCATTTATGCGATTAGCGATCATTGGACCTTAACAGCAATGTTGATTAAATACATCCATGTGTTTCATTTAAATTAAATCAACCTAAAAAAAAAAGTCTGAAGGGTGAGGCACCTGGAGCGCAGACAAGGTTTACCCATGTGATCTGTCACATTGGAGGAATCCAGTTTGAGAAAGAAAGAAAAAAAGATTTACATTTTTCTTTTTACCAGAGTTTTGGGATCTGGAGCACTAAGCAGATGACTGGGGAAATCTATGTGGGTCTAAGTAGTTGATGAGTGACGATGTGTGGACAGGGCATGTCTCATTTCACAGTGTATAGGAGGTACCTTGGGGGCAGTGGCAGTATGCAACTTACCCCATACCAGGAGGTCCTCCTCTTCCTCCGCGGTCGTATCCACTACCGCGGTCGAATCCACCACCACTGCCACGGTCGTATCCACCGCTGCTGCCACGGTCATAGCCACCACCGCTGCCACCACCCCCACGGCCTCTGTAGCCCCCTTCTCCATCTGCACGGTCTCCCTGGTCTCGTCCAAACCTCGAACCCTGACCCCCTCCTTCACCTGGTGTGCAAAAAGCCTTATTGAGCCACTACCCAACTTCACTTATGAGTAAAGGTGCACTGTTAGGGGACTGCAATTTTATTTTTAGCTCAGATTCTGTCAATATTTTTTCAAAGCAAATGTGTTTCATGGCTGTTCATGGCACACTGTTGCCTGGCAAATTACCAGGTATTGTCGCAGCCACACCGTGTTCAAGTTAGATTAGGCACATTTCTGACCCTCTGGAGAAAATGGTACTATTCTGACAATATGGAACAAGTCATTAAATGGAATTGGCGCTCAGAGAAATCCCAGAGAATAACTAATTAAAAAAGATATTTACACCTTTACATTCGTGTGAATAATTGCTGCTCCATAAAGAGCAACTTATAAACAATTGGATACACACATCTTATATTCATACCAAATGGTTGAATTTAGTAGCTCTAGATTTGAAGTATAAAAATGTTTTTGCAGAATTAAATGTTCATAAGAAGAGTAACAATGACATAGTTCCTTGAAAGAAAAGTAATTGTCTATGTACACGTGGGCACATTTGTGAATGCTTCCAGACAACAGATGTAGTTCTAACATGAACACAAGTTATTTGTACCTTCGCTCCATCTACCATAGCTGCTGCCACCTCCTGGTGCTGCGGGTGCTGCTGCTGCTGCTGGTGGTGCTGGTGGTGGTCCTCCTCGGCTCTGGCCTCCGTAGGAACTCTGTCCATAGCTGTCTCCACCTGGAGCCTGGCTACCATAGGAGCTTTGCTGCCCGTAAGACGACGATTTGTTGCCATACCTTGAAGTGGTTTGAGCAAAAAATGATTACAGTTAGCAAACAACTAAGATGTAAATATTGGTCTCAATTGGTCGTTTTCATCTTTGATCAGAACGGTAAGACAGGAAGTTGTCATTAATTAGTCGTTTCTGGTATTGTTCAATAATGCTACATCAATTATAGGTGAGAATGCATGTTACTAAGCTATTGTGACGTAGATAAGGTCTTACCCAGAGGAATCTTGTCCGTACGTATCAAAGCTCTGTTCCGGAGGAGGTTGGCCATAGCCTCCTGACAAAGACAATTCACAAGTGAGAAAGATACTTCTTTGAGATCAAATGCATTGTGTAATTCTATTTATTGTACTTTTCTATTTGTATACCTTCACATTAACAAATATCATCTGAACACGACTTTTGAAAACACCATGAATATACAACTTTCCATTTAACTGAACCAATTCCATCAGAGATATTCTCTCAGTTTGGACTAAAAAAGGTTTACATTTTGAGCAAGAATTTAATGACTTAAGATGCATTATCGCAATGTATTATTTAGTGATGCACGATAATTATCGGCCCGATATTAGGAATTATGACGTCATCCCGATACAAGTATTAATAGCCCCGATAATATACAATATATTTTTTGGGTAAAAAAAAAGAAAAGATACTGCGGTGTGGGTGGATTGGGATGAGGGGCGCTTGTTTTTCACTCGGCTCCTCCCGTTTTGCCAGCACTGTGGTTAGTGGTTTAGGAAGAGGGGAGTTCTTCACAAATCCAGCGCTCCCTAACTCATGCCTGGCTGTGACGTAAATGGTGTGCGGCCGTGAAGCCAGGACAGTAAACAAACATGTCGTCGGTAGTATGGGACTATTTCAAAGTTTCAGAGTTAGATAGTTCGCTTGCTATTTGTATTAACAAATGCAGAAGTTCCACGAGGAGGGAAAAAGGCAACGAGCTATAATACTTCCAACCTGATTAGTCACCTGAAACATCGCCATCGCTACGATGGTGTGTTAAAAGCGTACGAAGACGTAATACTGTAATAAATATGGTCACTTTGAAGAGTGAAAACTGTTCTTGGCTTTGTTTTGTTCATAGTAGTAATGCTCATGTCATTTGCTCACTACTAGTCTTTTTTTTACCACCAGGTGTGCAAAAACTACAGGTACATTTAATATATATATATATTATTATCGGTTATCGGTATTGAGAAGCAGGAAGTTATCGTATCGGTTTCAAAAACCCAATATCGTGCATCCCTAGTATTATTCAAAGCTGTTCAGCAAATTGACAGAGTAGACATGACCGTACCTTGTGTTGCAGCGCCTTGTGTTGCAGCGCCTGGTGCAGCGCCTGGTGCAGCACCTGGCTGTCCATAGCCAGGGTAACTCTGTCCATTTCCTTGTCCATAACCCTGTCAATCAGAACGCTTGGGTTTTCAGATTATGATTTTAAAAGACAACAATTTGAATGATAAAGATTACAGCAAACAGGCTGGTGGTAAATTGGGGAAGGGTCTTACCTGTCCACTCTGCTGACCGCCGTATGACCCATAGCTTCAAAACAGAAGACAAACGCAGTTAGCTTGTGGTTTGAGATGCATTGAAACACTCTATTGAGTCGTTGGTATAAATGTTCAGGGGAAATTTGCCAAATGCTAACATTTATTTGAATAAACAATACATTACTCAGTGCATGCTGCGTTGACAGCCTAAGCATTGGCCTCTCTGCTGCATTTAATCCATGTTTCATAGTTTAGATGCTATTTACTCAGGAAAGGAACATCATCTTAACACTTCACTTACAAAGAGACTAGAAGGCTAAAATAGCCGGTGGGTACCTCATACCACTAACTAGGTCAGTGTCACGTGACAACACAATTTGTAGCCTATTTCTATTTCTGCTTGAAATGATTAAATATGCCACCAACACTCCTTGGACATCATAAAAAGTCTTGAGTACATCATTTATTTGAACCCTGATGTCCTGTGTTCATACTAGATGCAACTTCATTAGCAGATCATTCAAAATAACCAATTTAATAATGAATTTCTCCTTGTCACAATTGTATGTTAGAGTAAACTACAATATTAAGGTGTTAAACTGACAAAACACGACATTTAACACATCGGGCTTAGAAAAAGTGTCTCTCAAGTATCTCAGACCTTTTATAGAGCAAACCATTACCTTTAGATAATCAGGAGTTCAATATATACCAAACATATCCCATTTAAACACTTAATCACTACCATAATTGATCTCCAATTGCTCCTGCATAACTTGTATTCACTTTGGTTTATGGGCCTACTATGATTTATTTATATTACTATATATAGTTATCTGAAGCTCATGTATAATTATTGATATTGTTGTGCTGCTGCAACACCAACATACAAATAATCAGAAATGGTTTAATGACCAAAAAGGTTTAAACATACAAGGAATTTGCTTTGGAGTAAAATGGTGCATACAAAAACACAGAAAGAAAATCATGTTGATGAAGAAAGGAGCTAACTATAGTAGGCTACTGTTATAAAAAGCTATCCAAAAAACTATTGTAACACAACATATAGGTAAGGAACAGGGTATAGTGAAATAAAATAATATATTGTCATTACCTCTGTGAGCCACCGTAGCCTGAATCTGAAAGAGAAACAAAACAGGGTTGAATCTTCCAAAATAACAAAGCGACTGCACCGCGAGCTTGAAGGCAGAACAGAGCAAACGAAGGCCCGAGCCAATCCACCAAAAATGGCGGTCAATTCGCTTTAGGCTAACTCTTGAACCGAGACAAACTACGACATGTGTATACATGCTGTCCATACCCGGCATGATTATCTTTACATCAACCCATATTAAATGCAAATATTGCCAAATTATCTTTAAACTAGATGTGTGTACGTTTCGTGTCTCGTTTGGCAGGAAAACATAAGCATCGATATAAACAAAGACGCGTTCATGCTAGCACCTCAAGCTAACTACGACTAGGCCCTTTTCACTCTGCGGTACACACATATTATAGATTGTTGGCACATTCATGGGGTCTTAAAGGAGTACAGCTAAGTGTCATATGGGAGTTAACTCCCTTGTGGAAACAAATGTAGTCAAACACACGGCAAAGCTAACTTTGTTCTGTTATTGAGAGATGTTCCAGGAGATAGACGGAGCCCTCCATGGCCTCGAGGTTAACTGCTAATGTAGCTCCGATGCTATTCGTTTCACTTTTTATTAGCCTAGTTTATACAAAAAAACCAATGCAAACAATGATAAACAGACAAAGTACATGTTGGCTTACCAGTGGCCATTCTGTGACGTTGTATATATAGTTAAAATACAATGAAGTGTGTTTCTTCTGATTAGCTGATAAAAACGCTGGTTGAATGTACGCAGCGCCACAGAATTGAGCCGATCACTCTGCGACAGTTCCCTTAATGCTGCCCTTCTTCTTCCTGTTGGAAACACTGCTCCTATTCAACGAGAAGTCACAAGGCCGCCACCTACTGTCTTACAGCGGGAATAAGGAGGTAGCTACAATACAATAGACCAGTAGTTCATAAGATATCAGTTCAACATGTGTCACAGAAAATAGTTGGATTTTTCTTATTGTCCCTTTTTTATAACAATATAATATTCTACTTTATTTCCCTTTTTTATTTGTATTGTTTTCCTTTAGCCTTTCATTGATTTCATATTGTATTTCCTTTTTGCCCTGGAAATTACCTTTTTAATCCTTCCTTGAAACCTGAAGTATGTGTGTACACATATACGTGTGTATATAAGAATATGCTGAATTGATATTCACTCTTTTCTATCCCTAAAAACTAAAGGATCATCTTGTTTATGCAAGTCTAGCCCACTATTAACATTGTTAAATAATGAATGCATTAATATTATGTACTGTATCTTAAAGGCAGATGATCAGATAATTGTACTTGATGTGTACTTATGTCTAGAAAAAGTCATATCACAATCTAAAAAACATTACATTTGTTTTAGTTAACTTGAAATATCATTCAATTATTTATTATTTCTTCGTTTCAATGTATGATTAACAATGTCTAACTTTCTTCTGTACCCTGACTGCAAGACTCTCAACCTCTTTTGTTGGGGTTCAATTCCGTTTTACTTTTGTGGGTTTGAAAAAGTTTAAAAAGTGTGTTGACATCTTTAAAATTCAGGAATTCTTGTTTTTCTTTAATCCATTGGGATGCACAGTCATTTGATTGAGTTTTGTTTTTAATTTGTAACTGACATGGTTTGCCCTTTTCATGTGCTTCATTAAATAAACTATTTTTAAAAAATCTAAAAGATTAAAGCTTTATGAAAACGATTTGATCTAACAACCGGCTTTATCATGTCAGTCATCATAACAGATTTAGTTCAGATCACATGCACTCATACGTCATTACGCTGGCTTCTGGGAACAGGCTGCTGACGGTAAGGTCACTCATGATTACAACACAATTAAAACAAACACTGCAGCTCTGTGTGATTCAATCTCTCAACATTACCGCCTCATGAGTATTAGAGCGATGGATCTGAAACCTCATGTCTTATAATATGGCGGACAGATGGTTGAGATAAAATGTCAAAGTAAATAAGATTGTAGAAGAATTATGCAATCATAAAGTTCAACCTTATTTAATCACAAAAAAGCCAATAAATTATTCCAATTTTATTCATTAAAAAAATGCATGCCTTGAAAATATCAAATATTTACATCATAAAGTAGAATGACAAATAAGTCACAGTACTGGCTAAAGTGACTTTCTACCACACTGAAAGCATAGACGAAGACACGTTATCAAGTTAGTAGAGCGTCATGGGTTTTATATGCTAACTTATAATAAGGCATAATAAGGCAGTGTAAAAAAGGCACAGGCTGCACTTCAAATGGTCTGCTGACATCTTCAAACTCCTTTTATTCACACAAAAAGATTGAGATGAGCACCGGCTGACAGAATCTGGGAGATGCATGAACTGTCCTGATATTTCTCGGTCATTTTCCCCATGTAGTGGTGCATAATGTGATAAGACAAAATTAACATTTCATACTTTGCAAACAACCACCATTTGGGAGGCCAGATATGATTTCCAAGACAACATTTCAAATGAACATTTTACATATATTACAGGGAACCTAGAGTTGATTTTTCATGACTTTTAAAGACCTGCTTTTATGGAAAATAAGTTGCACATGCTGACGTGCATTTTTCTATAAATTATCTTTTCATTTGCATCACTTTTTGTACCTCTCCAAAGTTTACTGTCACTGATTAAAATCAACAGCAATGTTTGCATATCAGGCACAATCTCTTCCAAAGATAATGGCATATAATTGTACCAAATTTTCATATATGTTCTAAAACATTTATTATATTTAAAGTTATTTCCGAAGTACTACAGGAAGAGCTCTGAGAGAAACTGAAGTTAGCACCCTATCATGTATAAAGCGTCCCTTTTCTCTCTTTGCAACAGGAACAAACAACGCTCCAAATGTTCACATATAATCCAATATTACCAGTTGAGGAGTTATAACAGTTAGATTAAAGTTAAAATATGGCAATCTGAAGGACCTTCTATGTTTCCGATTTAAATACTTCCATGTTCACAATGGACTTATATCATGTACATTCAGAGCTGCATGTCCACAATGTTTGATAACAGCCAATCACACAAATCGATTCATGTATATGAGAGGATCTTAAATCAGACCATAGTTTTGTCTCCTAAAACAGGCTGCGTCCCAGATACATAATGTAGTATACTTATGAAATACAGATCAAACTGCTGAATGTGTTTATCAACAAAACCTGCTGAGGTAGTGTTTGCCTCACAATCATGTGCTACCTGTTGCTCCCTTGACTAGGGAGATGAACAATTCTTGAATGGTTTTATATTTAGTCATGATAAAACGAGACACACAATAAAAATAGAACATTTAAAACCACTCGAGCAGTGAGTCTGAAGCTCTTTAAGTCCAGACATCCTGTGAGTAGCGTCCCTTGGTCATCAGTTTCTTGACGTAATCTGTGGCCTGTGTGCGCGTCATGCCTCCCAGCTCCTCCGCAATGTCCTGGAGGGCCGTCTGCACATCCTTAGCCATGTTCTTTGCGTCCCTAGATCAGGAGAAAGATCACGTCAGATTAAAGTCCTCTTTAGGGGTGTTCTGGTGTTATTTTTTCATATTGCTTATCCATCTATTGTAGGATTTTTCCCTTTAGTTGTATTGAAATCATACTGTTTCCATTTATTGGAGTATTTAGCACTTGAATCAAAAAAGTAATTATCAGCCGGCAACAGTGCATCTACAACTTGGTGGACGTCTTTTTCTTTTGATTCCTAAATGCTGGCAATTAAAAACAATTCTTATTATTCCACTAGGCGGTGCCAAAGCACCAAAGATAAAGCAGGTTTCCATTATCAAGCAAGCATTTCCTCCCCAGTGTACGTTCCCAATTCCTGTTAATCAAATGATCACAAATAATCATCCACATCACTTCAAGTGTTCCAATATCCAACAACTAAATGCAGTATGTGAAAGTTCAATCTTTTAGAATACATTAAATGCAAATGTTTTGCTGTTCAAATGTGTTAATTACCCGCAGACGTAGATATGAGCGTTGTCTGAGTGAATCAGCTTCCAGAGATGCTCCTTACTATTCTTCAGGAGATGCTGCACGTACACCTTTATTTTGGAAAATGGAAAGAGGAAACATTGTTCAAAATGTGCATTTCCAAAAGATTCTGACACATCACATTCAAAGAATTGTCAATGACTTTCCAGGCCCAATTCCCTCAAATGCAAGGACCTTACACAACGTAATTGAGTTACAGATCAAGGTCTTATCAATTTGCTGCAGGCTTTGCATTGGGCTATGCATGTCCCATAGATATTTAACTAATGTTAAGTAAACAATTACCAATATTATTGAATAACAACATGAAGTTGCGTTCGGCTCTAAAGACACTAAGAGCAGTCCTACCTTCTGCTCCTGGTCTCTGGAGAAGGCGATGTTGAGCTGCGTTAGAACTCCTTTCTTCTCCGCTTCCTCCAGCTCCTCCTGGTAGATATAATCCTCGTTCTTATATCTGCAGCCGAAATACAACAAAGTTTCTCCAACCTCCTTTCCTAAAAGGAAACAAAAAAACAATGGTTATTTTTCAGCTATTTCATTCAGCTCTTCTAATGAGTTTTTTAACTGATCAAGTTTGTTTTACAATTTACAATTCCTACTCAACGAACAAAAAGTTCTGTCTTCAGAGTAACAGGAAGTAGGCTAATAACTGAACTAAGTTAATTAAAGCACTGACTGCCCATACCCATTAACCCTTCAATGCTTTAAAAAATGTGTTTTGCTGTGGGCAGTGTGGTGTACACACATATTTTATTAAATCTGTGTAATTTATTGTGTTCCTTCTTTGTCGAAAGTATCTATAAACACCTTGTTCTTTGAGCCAGCCTCTCTCCTGGATGAATCCCATGAAGGGAGCGATGCCTGTCCCAGGGCCGATCATGATCACGGGGTTGGTGGTTTTGAAGGGAAGGCGGAACTGAGACTTGCGGATGAACATGGGAACAGTGGACTTGTGTCCGTTGTCAGTGACCAGTTTGTTCTTCAGCCAGTTGGTGGCGACTCCCTTGTTAGTGCGGCCCGTCGGGGTCTCGTACTCCACCACCACCGCACAGATGCTGATGCGGTCAGGGTGAACCTGCAGAACAGGAGAGAGTTACCAATATACTTTAAAGCACTGAATGGTTCAGGGCGAAAAAACAGTTCTGATATTCTGCTACATCATTCTTCGTAATGCTCACGTCATCTTGAATCAGTATGCCATCTCTCCCCAGAGTCAAAACTAAACAAGTTGAAGCAGCGTTCAGTTATTGTGCTCCATTTATCTGGAACAAACTACCAGAAACCTGCAGGTCTGCTGCAACTCTCACTACTTTTATATTTAAGACTGAAGACTTTGCTATTTGCCACTGCCTTCTATTCATATTTGACACTGCACTGTAACATGTCTTCTGTTTTTTTATTTCTGTCTTATTCTAGTTTAGCTTGTCTAGTTTCGTATTGTCCAGGCTTCTTTAATGACTGTTGTATGTCACCTCTTTCATTATATCTTAATGCATATAACGCACACCGAATTACTTTGCTTTTGAAATATGCTATATAAAGAAACTTGCATTGCCTAGTAATTCTCTGATATGAACAGCATTGTTGCTGCAGGTAACCATATTATTATTACATTGCATTTGGCTGACGCTTTTATCCAAAGCGACTTACAATAAGTACATTCGACCAGGAAGACACAACCTTGAAGAAAACAGAATCATATAAGTACATCAGGTTTCATAGAGCCAAACATTTCAAGTGCTACTCAACTGGCTTTAGATAAGCCAGTCCTTTATTAGTATATAAGTGCTTCGTTAATAGTTCTAACGCTCGAAGTGGAGTCGAAAGAGATGAGTTTTCAGTTTGCGCCGGAAGATGTGCAAGCTATCTGCCGTCCTG